ACCTTGCATAGCTATTCCTGAGGTCTTCCCACCCACTCCACCCTCTTTCCCCTTCCCTATTTGCTAGCAATGTTATTAGCAAATACCACAAAATGAGGGTCGACATGGGTGTTCACAGAAAGCGGCAATAAAGTGCAGGTCATAAAGTGCTGTTAATAACCTCCCAAGTTAATTAATTACTTGGAGGATTAAAGTGCTGTTATATCGCAAGAAGGTTAAAGTGCACAAAATTAAAGTGCGCAAGGATTTAAAGTGCACAAGGTTTTAAAGTGCACAGTTCTAAGGTGCAATATTCACTGACACTAGATAAGTGCAGTTAGATGGATAAGTGCAATTGGATGGGGAGCTAGCAGGATTGGACAAGACGGCTCTAATTCTTTGATGACAATGCAGCGGCAGTACAATCCTCCGTTCGTTACTAAATATAGTTCTTATATTGACCCCCCCCCCCCCAGTACAACAGACTTGGGGCTGAAGGGCCGAGGGGTATGGGTATAAACCCCAATGACGGCTGTTGTTATGCCAACAAGGAATGTTAGGTGAGAATGGCCATAGTGGCTCTACAATCTGATATTAAGTTGGTATCTGATGTTCAGTTCAATTCTTCCGGACTAGAGGCGGATAAAGATGGTAGTAGAGATGGCGATTCCTGGACGACAGTCAATGGTAGATCACAGCAGCTATGACACAACAAAAGTTCTGGGGCCTCCGTTAAAGATGGATTACGGAGAAGGTATTCAAAGAGTTACGTCGCGGGGGCAGCGCCTCCTAGGGTTGCGGAGGAGCTACCACCTGACTGGACTCCAAGTGCCCAGGTCCTTCCAAGACGTCAGCCCCCAGCCCGATTCACTCAGATGGTAGTGGGTACGCGAAGAGCCCAACCAGTTCACCCCTGCCGCGGCTGGGATGTTACGATAGAATTCAACGGCGGGAGGGGCAGTCGGGGCGCTCACAGGGCTCCTCAGGGCTCCCCAAGCCTCCGCCCAGATGGAACGCGGAAGGCAGCGGCAGTAGGCTCCCGGCACAAAGAAGTCGGCCAGAGCTCTGCCGGACCACGCTGAGCTGCAGATGACGGTAGTTGAAAAAAAGAGCCCCGCGGCTCGCCGGCTCCAGCAGCCCGAGCCGCAGATGGCGGTAGCTGGAAAAAGAGCCCAGCGGCTCGCCGACTCCAGCAGCCCAGCGGCTGCGAGCAACACCACAACCACGCGGCTAGCGGCTGGCGGCTGGTCAAACCGAGTCCGCTGCTTCGCCTTTCGGTCTAGGCCGGCACCACAAAGCAGGGTCGAGACGCTCACCGCTCGCCGCCACACGCGGCCGCCCCAGTCCTCCGCCGCCGGCCGCCAGCCGCAGCAGCCAGGCTCCGCGACAACCCCAGGAGGAGCGGTCCCAATCCAACTCAAGCCGAGCCGATGGTAAGTCTTTATGGGCTCCGTCGACCGTATTCGGAGTCTTAGGAGGGAGCGAGCAGGCCCAGATGGTAGTTATAATGGCCTCCGCTCTACCTCCTTCTTCCCTCTCTTCCCTTCCTATTCTCTGGGTATATCTTACCAGTCGCCTCCCCAAGGCCCCCTATGGGGTCCCGGGGTGTTGCTGGTCAGGGGCCAATAAAGGGAAAGCAGAATGGGGGGTGGATGGTTGCGATATCGCCTGGATTGAGGGGTTTCGTCTTACCCCGATGGAAAGGTTGCTGTTAGCAGGTCGCCATCTTAACCGGAAGTTAGATACTAGCTGTCCCCTGCCACGCCTTGCTGTGGCCCAGTCTGTGTATATGTGTTATGTGTGTGTGTATATGTGTGTGTACATACTTATGTATATATGTGGTTTTGCTGTGGCCCTGTCTGTGGCCCAGTCTGTGTATATGTGCTTTGTGTGTATATATTTCTGTATATGTGTATATGTGTTTACATAGATAGATAGATGGTTTTGTGCATGCATTGTAATGTATTTTTGTTTGTTTGTTTGTTTTGCTTTTTAAGTGTTTTCTGCTGAGTTTTTCAGTGTTTTTTTTATGAGTGATGGTCACTCATTGGCCTGAGAGGTGTCTTGTGTCCAAATTTGGTGTCAATTTGTCAAGTGGTTTTTGAGTTCTGTGAATCCCACAAACGAACATGACATTTTTATTTATATAGATATTATTAGTAATAGTACATGTAATATAAAATATATAACTATATATCATTAGTAATAGTACATGTAATATAAAATATATAATTATATATTATTAGTAATAGTACATGTAATATAAAATTTATAATTATAATATCATAGTATTATTAGTAGTATTATATTGTATTACAGTATAATATTATCAATATTATGTGTATATACAATATATTATATTATAGTCGCCTGAGGGTTGAGAAGGGCGGTATACAAATATTTGATTTCATTGTGTTGTTGTTTATGTTTTGATTATTGTATTGCACTGATAGGCTTGGAGCACCCAGTGGCGCAGTGGGTTAAACCCCCCCTGTGCCGGCAGGACGGAAGACCGACAGGTCGCAGGTCCGAATCCGGGGAGAGGTGGATGAGCTCCCTCTATCACCTCCAGCTCCTCATGCAAAGGGGACATGAGAGAAGCCTCCCACAAGGATGATAAAAACATCAAATCATCTAGGCGTCCCCTGGGCAACATCCTTGCAGACAGCCAATTCTCTCACACCAGAAGCGACTTGCTCCTGACACGTCAAATAAATCTATATATATAAATCTGTTAGGTTGGTTCAACCGGACAGCAAAACTCCACAACCCCCCAACGAAACTTACCAAAATTCCCATGCCCATAACACAACCCACAAGGTACAAACATATCTACTCAAAATGAAAAACAACACAACAACACACTCACAAAACGGCAAAACAACAAAACCCAAAAAAACCCAACGAAACTTAACCAAAATTCCCATGCCCATAACACAACCCACAAGGTACAAACATATCTACTCAAAATGAAAAACAACACAACAACACACTCACAAAACGGCAAAACAACAAAACTCAAAAAACCCCAACAAAACTTAACCAAAATTGCCATGCCCATAACACAACCCACAAGGTACAAACATATCTACTCAAAATGAAAAACAACACAACAACACACTCACAAAACGGCAAAACAACAAAACTCAAAAAAACCCAACGAAACTTAACCAAAATTCCCATGCCCATAACACAACCCACAAGGTACAAACATATCTACTCAAAATGAAAAACAACACAACAACACACTCACAAAACGGCAAAACAAATAAGCATGCGCATTGGTGCCCAGCCGCAAGTTCCCTGGCGCGCGCACACAGTTCCCTCTGCGGAAGCCATGCCCACTCCAAGCCCCGCCGCGCCGCTTCCCGCACACACACCCCCTGCCGCACGCACACACACAACCCCACGCTCCATCACTCCCCCGCCGCACACACACACGCAACCCCACGCTCCATCACTCCCCCCACCGCCACACACACACGCAACCCCACTCCCCCCCGCTGCCGCACACACACACGCAACCCCACGCTCCATCACTCCCCCCGCTGCCGCACACACACACACAACCTCACGCTCCATCACTCGCCTGCCCCAATCTTACCTCCTTTTACTTCACGCCACCTCCAAACCCCACCCGCCCCTTCCCGCCCTGTCAAAATCCAGGAAAGACAGGAAGGAAGGAAAGAAGGAAGAAAGAGAAATGGAGATAAAGAAAAGGCGGAAGGAAGGAAAGTTAGAGAAAGAAGGAAGAAGAAAAGGAAAGGAAAGATGGAAGGAAAGAAAGGAGAGAGACAGCAGAAGAGAAAGAAAAAGGGGGAAGGAAGGAAAGGTAGAGAAGAAAAAGGGAAGGAAGGAAAGTTAGAGAAGGAAGGAAGGAGAGAAGGAAAGAAAAAAGGGAAAGGAAGGAAAGAGGGAGCGAAGGAAGGGAAGATGTAGAGAAAGAGGGAGGGAAGAAGAGAGAGAAGGAAGAAAAGAGACAGCAGAAGAGAAAGAAAAAGGGGGAAGGAAGGAAGAGAGATAGAGAAGGAAAGGAAGAAGAAGGAAAGAGGAGAGGAAGGGAGGGAGGGAAGGAAAGAGGGAAAGAAGGAGAGAAGATACCATCCTAATACCATCAACCTGGGAAAGAGTGGTGAAGAGAAGAATAGGAGAGAAGGAAAAGGAGAAGGAAAGAGTGGGAGGGAAGGAAGGAAGGAGGGAAAGAAGGAGAGAAAGAGGGAAGGTTGGCCATAGCAACGCGTGGCGGGTAAAGGTTGTTATTTCTATTATTATTATGATGCTATTATTCCTATGAGACCCTTTTAGGGGGAATGGGAGAGGTGTCAGGTCCCAGAGGCAATGCATTCCATTATTGTTATTGTTATGATGGTGGTGAAATAAAAGGAAATAAAAAGAGAAAGAAGGAAGCAAACAGGGAGGGAAGAAAGGCAAAGGAAGAAAGGGGGAGGGAATGAAGGAAAGAGAGAAGGATGAAACCAAGTAGTGAAAGAAAGAAAGAGGTAGAGAAGGAAGAAAGGAGAGAAAGGGGGAGGAAAGGGGGGAAGGAATAGGTAGGGACCTCTCTTTCATAATAGTCCAGATATCTACCTCAACTTTGATAAGTTTTACTATAGGCCACAGCAACGCGTGGCAGGGCACAGCTAGTAATAAATAAATACTGATAGGCTTGGCCTCATGTAAGCTGCTCTGAGTCCCCATCGGGGTATAAATAAAGATTATTATTATTATATAGTAAATAATAATAATAATAATAGTAATAATAATAATAATAATAATAATAAGCAAAAGCCTTATTTAAAGGAATTCGTTTCAGCTGCTCAGGGGAACCTAGGATGGGAGATGGATGGTGTCCCCATTATTTGTGGCCCTCGAAAACGCATTGCCTTAAGTGGCTTCTTCCCTTCTCCTGCTTTGGGACAATGGCTGCTGCAGGACAGTGTCTTTGGCCAGCCTGAAATGTTGCGTAGGCCCAGCTTTGGAGGGGAATGGGTAGTAAATCTTTCTTTCCTTGTCTTTGGAAGGAACTGGTCTCCGTGGGCATTGGGGACAACAGGAGTGGCGAGATGACCATCCTGGGCCACGTCAAGCACAAGCTGGTCTGCGCGCCCGATTTTGAATCCCTGCTGGAACACAAACATCGGTAGAGAAAGAGAACATGCGGGGAGGGCGAAGGCCTGTGCGGGATTTCCCGGTCCTCCTGGGGGTCCCTTACACACAACGGAAGTGCCTTGCTCCTTGGAAGAAAGAGCTCCAAGGAAGACTCTCCTAGACCGGATCGGCCACATTGTAATGGAAGGAGTGTGCATGACATTGCAGTGCTGGGCTTGCTCTGGTAGGATTTTGAGCACTGTCCTTCCCAGGTCCAGTCTAGGAGCAACTTTACTCATCAACACTGATTCTCCAGATGTTGTCCTGAGTACAACATAGAGGACCTGACCTGGATGTGGCTTGGAGTAGAGGCTTGTTATTCTGCATCTACTTCCTGCAGAAGAGCAGGACCATAGGTCTACTCCAAATCTCTCCGAAAACTGGAGATGAAGCCCTTTCTCCCTCTGTTTTTTCAGTCTTGAGTGTCTACAGCTATGTGTTGCAACAGCAGGAGCATAGGGAATGGAAATCTGGGTTGTTGTAGGATTTTCGGGCTGTATGGCCATGTTCTAGAAGCATTCTCTCCTGACGTTTCGCCTGCATCTGTGGCAGGCATCGTCAGAGGGAGTGAGGTCTGTTGGAAACAAGGAAAATTGTGTTTATATATCTGTGGAAAGAACTCTTGTCTGGTGGAGGTAAGTGTGAATGTTGCAATTGGCCACCTTGATTAGCATTTGATGGCCTGATAGTTTTTAGGTGTGTCTTGTTACTGCATGGGGGAATTTATTATTTTATTTATACGCTTGTATACCGCTAATATCTCAGCCTAAGTCGGCGACTCATTGCGGTTTACAACAATTAAAAACAGTATTCAATTTAAAACATACAACACATATACAATACAAATTATTGGGCCACCAATAATAATCCCATGCATCTCGTAATTAAAATCACAATCCAAGATTCGTCGTCCATAATTACCAGTCCTTTAATTACCAGTCCTTTGTTGACAGGTGATTAGATGCTCCTTGTTTCTCATCTGGAGTTCTCCTGAGTTTGAGTTTAGTTCTTGTCCTTCAGCAAAGAAGGAGACAGTAAATAAAGAATAACACTCAGAAAACAGGGAATTGCAGACAATAAACAATCATGAACACCTAATCACCTCTCAACAAAAGATTCTCCCAGGCAGTAACAAGCCACACCTAAAAACTGTCAGGCCATTAAATGCTAATCAAGGTGGCCAATTGAAACATTCACACTTGCCTCCAAGAGACAAAAGTTCTTTCTCCCACCCTGGAGAGAAACCCCACTTGCCCAGTTTCCAACAGACTTCACAACCTCTGAGGATGCCTGCCACAGATGCAGGCAAAACGTCAGGAGAGAATGCTTCTAGAACATGGGCATATATAATGGATAGGGGATTATTTATTAGCAAATCCCACAAGCTGAACACCAAATTATAATGGTTAGGGATTATTTTATGGACAAATCCCAACCACTTGCCAACCACTTGTAATGGAAAGTCGCTTCTTTAATTAAAAATGAAAATCTGAATAAGCTGGAATATCTTCTGGCCGAAAAACCTTTCAAAAGAACACTGGCTACCACCACACTTAAAAGAAATGTTAAGCCCTTGGCTTACTTGAGGTATCTTTAGACCAGAATGTGCTGGATTCGTACTCCGGCTTGGTACTCTGAGGAAACACTAACGAGATTCCTGTTTAAAATACACGCAGTCACCATTAGACTTCGTCTATAAACTTGAGGCAGTTGTTATGAACAAATAACAATGTTGTTTATTTGAGAGAACTTGAACAATATAGCTTTAAGCTTAGCGGTTTCAATGTTGAATAAAGCGTATGCTTTCTTTAAACAGTTCAAAACTTGCAAATAACAGTCCTCTCTCCCTCCAGAAACTACTGACAGGATTCCTCTCTGCCTAGTATTTCTAAACTCCACACAGACAGTCCTTTTTTCCCTGGATCTGTCTCTCCACTCCACGAGCTATCCTTCCCAATAGCTACAAATCTTCTCACTAACTAACTGCTGACTAACTGACTAACATCAGGCCTCACTAGCTCTTCTCTTCTTCACACATAACCCAAAACTCCTTCTTCTTTGACACACAGTCCTTAACTGAGCTGTCAGGTTTTGAAACGCCCCTTAAAGTCATTTTTTCCCCTTTTTTCAAGATAAGCTCCGCCTACTCTCTCCCAGCCAATCACAAACTCCCCTCATTTCCCTCCAAGCTGCTCCTAAGCATTTCCCTCCAAGCTGCTCCTAAGCTGCTCCCCTCCAGGAAATGAGATTCTAAGATGGATGCCCCCAGGCACCCTTCTAAAATGGCTGCTGAACTTCCTGGGCCTACTTTTCTGAGCTTTTCCTAGCCTAACAGCCCGAAAAACCTACAACAACCCAGTGATTCCAGCCATGAAAGCCTTCAACGATGGATGGGAGGGCATCTTCCCAGGGCTTGGCTCTCTCCATCAGTTGGCCTTCCCATTACGGAGGTCTCCTCCAGGAACCTTGAAACATCATCTGCATAGCTTCCCATTGTCTTTGAAGAGTGTGTGCATCGTTTTGGGATAGTATTCAACTCATGGCAAAATCACAGAAGCTGGTGTTCTTTTCCTAAAATCTTACATCGAGGGGAGAAAGAGGATTGCTGTGGTTACGAGTCCTGATGCTGTTTTCATTATTGTCTGTCTGAAATGGTCCGACATGATGGTGCTTGTTGTTCCTGGGGAAGGAGATACGCAACTTTGGAAGAAATTATAGTAAAAATTATGCTGACAATGAGCCGGGTTTATTTTTCTCAGTGTCTAAACATCAGACCTCTGCCATCCGCTGGCTAAGAAAATAGATTATTATTATTATTATTATTATTATTATTATTATTATTATTATTATTATATTTGATTTCTGAGCAAAACATGAGATTGGGTTAATTAATTAGAGTGAATGTTGGCCTATAAAAGGAATGAGCAAACTTGGGTCCTTTAGGGGTTTTGGACTCCAACTCCCATCATTCCTAACAGTCTCGGGCCCCTTCCTTTTCCCCCTCAGTCGCTTAAGCTTCAGCTTAAGGGCCCCAATGTGTTAGTAGGCCTCAGTGTGAGAGAGGCATCAGTCTGAGAGAGCCCTCAGTGTGAGAAGGCTGGAGGACCCAGGTTTGTGCATGTCTGGCCTATACTGACAATCTGACTTCGCCAATGAGTTGTGCTTTATTCTTTCCTGGCCTTCGTCCTGCACTTCAGAGTGTTAGCGTGGTGGAAACCAGCTCCCAGTTCGAGTACTGCTCTTCAATCAAACTTCATCTAACTCAGCATTTCTCAACCTGGGGGTTGCGAGGGGGGTGTCAAAGGGGTCGACAAAGACCATCAGAAAACACAGAATTTTTTGTTGTTCATGGGGGTGGGGTCTGTGCGGGAAGTTTGGCCCAACTCTGTCGTTGGTGGAGTTCAGAATGCTCTGTGATTCTAGGTGAACTATAAATCCCAGCAACTACAACTCTCAAATGTCAAGATTCGATTTTCCCCAAACTCCACCAGTATTCACATTTGGGCATATTGAGTATTCGTGTAGAGTTTAGTCCAGATCCATCGTTGTTTGAGTCCACAGTGATCTCTGGATAGAGGTGAGCTACAACTCCAAAACCAAAGGACACTGCCCACCAAACCCTTCCAGTATTTTCTGTAGGTCATGGGAGAACTGTGTGTCAAGTTTGGTTCGATTCCATTGTTGGTGGGGTTCAGAATGCTCTTTGATTGTAGGCGAACTATAAATCCCAGCAACTACACCTCTCAAACATCAAGATCTGTTTTCCCTAAAATCCACCAGTGTTCACATTGGGGCATGTTGAGTATTCGTGCCAACTTTGATCCATTTCCATCATTGTTTGAGTCCACAGTGCTCTCTGGATGTAGCTGAACTACAACTCCCAAACTCAAAGTCAATGCCAACCAAACACTTCCAGTATTTGTTGTTGGTTGTGCGTATTCGTGCCAAGTTTGGTCCAGTTCCATCATTGTTTGAGTCCACCGTTCTCTCTGGATGTAGGTGAACTACAACTCCAAAAGTCAAGGTCAGTGCTCATCAAGCCCTTCCAGTATTTCCTATTGGTCGTTGGAGTTGTGTGTGCCAAGTTTGGTTCAATTCCATCACTGGTGGAATTCAGAATGCTCTTTTATTGTAGGTGAACTATAAATCCCAGCAGCTATAACTCCCAAATGTCAAAATCAATCCCCCCTTCCCCAACCCCACCAGTATTCAAATTTGGGTGTATCGGGTATTTATGTGAAACATGGTCCAGTGAATGAAAATACAACAGGAGGAACTGTGTTAAGGGGTTGCGGCATTCGACGGTGGAGAACCACTGCTCTAACTTAATTTCTGCGCAGTCAGCTGGTCCCGGTTGTGATTCCTGGAGAAAGCTGTGATCCCCATCTAGTGGCCAAAGGCTGGCAATAAAAATGGAAAGAGGGGCTTACTCGCTCCGACCTTTTGTACCCAAAAATTATTCAAAGGGCAGAGAAAACAGGTGGCTTTGGGTTAAACTGCTGAGCTGCTGAACTTGCTGACCGAAAGGTCAGCGGTTCGAATCCGGGGAGTGAGGTGAGCTCCCGCTGTTAGGCCCTGCTTCCGCCAACCTAGCAGTTCAAAAACATGGAAATGTGAGTAGAGCAATAGGTACTACTCCATCAGGGAAGGTAACGGCACTCCATGCAGTTGTGACCTTGGAGGTGTCTAAGGACAAGGCCGGCTCTTTGGCTTAGAAATTGAGATGAGCACCAACTCCCAGAGTCGGACACGACTGGACTGAATGCCAAGGGGAAAACCTTTACCTTTTACCTAATAATAACAGTAATAATAGAGTAAAATAATAAATGTAATAATAATAATAATAATAGAGTAAAATAATAAATGTAATATAAACCGTAATAACAAAGTAGGAAATGTTACAAATGTAATAATAACAATAATAATAAAATAATAAATTTAATAATATAAAAAAGTAAAATAATAAACATAATAATAATAGTGTAAACTAAATAATAATAATAATAATAGAGTAAAATAATAAATGTAACAAAGTAGGAAATGTTACAAATGTAATAATAACAATAGATAATAAAATAAAATAATAAATGTAATAATATAATAAATAGAGTAAAATAATAAACAATCACAATAATAGTGTAAACTAAATGTAATAATAATAATAAAATAATAAATGTAATAATAACAATAATAAAATAATAAATTTAATAATATAAAAAAGAGTAAAATAATAAACATAATAATAATAGTGTAAACTAAATAATAATAATAATAATAATAATAATAATAGAGTAAAATAATAAATGTAATATAAGTAGTAATAACAAAGTAGGAAATGTTACAAATGTAATAATAACAATAATAATAAAATAATAAATTTAATAATATAAAAAAGAGTAAAATAATAAACATAATAATAATAGTGTAAACTAAATAATAATAATAATAATAGAGTAAAATAATAAATGTAATAATAATAGAGTAAAATAATAAATGTAATATAAGTAGTAATAACAAAGTAGGAAATGTTACAAATGTAATAATAACAATAATAATAAAATAATAAATTTAATAATATAAAAAAGAGTAAAATAATAAACATAATAATAATAGTGTAAACTAAATAATAATAATAATAATAGAGTAAAATAATAAATGTAATAATAATAGAGTAAAATAATAAATGTAATATAAGTAGTAATAACAAAGTAGGAAATGTTACAAATGTAATAATAACAATAATAATAAAATAATAAATTTAATAATATAAAAAAGAGTAAAATAATAAACATAATAATAATAGTGTAAACTAAATAATAATAATAATAATAGAGTAAAATAATAAATAATAATAATAGTAATAGAGTAAAATAATAAATGTAATATAAGTAGTAATAACAAAGTAGGAAATGTTACAAATGTAATAATAACAATAGAGTAAAATAATAAATGTAATAATAACAATAATAATAAAATAATAAATTTAATAATATAAAAAAGAGTAAAATAATAAACATAATAATAATAGTGTAAACTAAATGATAATAATAATAATAATAATAATAATAGAGTAAAATAATAAACGTAATATAAACCGTAATAACAAAGTAGGAAATGTTACAAATGTAATAATAACAATAGATAATAAAATAATAAATTTAATAATATAAAAAAGAGTAAAATAATAAACATAATAATAATAGTGTAAACTAAATAATAATAATAATAATAGAGTAAAATAATAAATGTAATATAAACAGTAATAACAAAGTAGGAAATGTTACAAATGTAATAATAACAATAGATAATAAAATAAAATAATAAATGTAATAATATAATAAATAGAGTAAAATAATAAACAATCACAATAATAGTGTAAACTAAATGTAATAATAATAATAAAATAATAATAAATGTAATATAAATAATAACAAAGTAGAACAATGCAAATGTTACAAATGTAATAATAACAATAGAGTAAAATAATAAATTTAATAATATAAAAAAGAGTAAAATAATAAACATAATAATAATAATAGTGTAAACTAAATAATAATAATAATAATAATAATAATAATAGAGTAAAATAATAAATGCAATATAAATAGTAATAACAAAGTAGGAAATGTTACAAATATAATAATAACAATAGATAATAAAATAAAATAATAAATGTAATAATATAATAAATAGAGTAAAATAATAAACAATCACAATAATAGTGTAAACTAAATGTAATAATAATAATAAAATAACCAAGTAGAACAATGCAAATGTTACAAATGTAATAATAATAATAGAGTAAAAGAATAAATTTAATAATAATGATAATGAAATAAAAAAATAAATTTAATAATATAATAAACAGAGTAAAAGAATAAACATAACAATAATAGTGTAAACTAAACAATAATAAAATAGTAAAATAAGAAATGTAATATAAATAATAATAACAAAGTATGAAAATGCAAATGTTACAAATGTAATAACAATAGAGTAGAATAATAAATGTAATAACAATAAAATAAAATAATAAATGTAATAATATAACAAATAGAGTAAAATAATAAATGTAATATAAAAAATAAAGTAGAAAAATGCAAATGTTACAAATGTAATAACAATAGAGTACAATAATAAAAGTAATAACAATAATAGTGTAAACTAAATGTAATAATAATAGAGTAAAATAATAAATGTAATATAAATAATAATAACAAAGTAGAAAAATGCAAATGTTACAAATGTAATAATAACAATAGAGTAAAATAATAAATGTAATAATAACAATAATAATAAAATAAAATAATAAATTTAATAATATAATAAATGGAGTAAAATAATAAACATAAGAATAGTAGTGTAAACTAAATGTAATAATAACAATAAAAGGTAAAGGTAAATGACAAAATAAAATAAAATAATAAATTTAATATAATTAATAGAGTAAAATAATAAACATAATAACAATAATACTGTAAACTAAATGTAATAATAATAATAGAGAAAAATAATAAATGTAATAATAGAGTAAAATAATAAATATAATAATAGAGCAATATAATAAAAGTAATAATAAAAATAATAGTAATAGAGTAAAATAATAAATAACTCTGACTCAAGTATAAATCCAGAATTTGTGATGTGCCTTGACGAATTGGCTTTATGTCATTCTTGATCTGTATTTTAATGTGTTTTAATGTATTAATGTACTATGGTGTTATTATGCTTTAGTTTATTTGTATATTGAGTCTCTGTTGTTAGCCGGCCTGAGTCCCTCCTCGGAGGTCGAGAAGGCCGGGTTAGAAAAGCTCTAAATAATAATAATAATAATAATAATAATAATAATAATAATAATAATAATAATATAAGCCAAGGGGGGCTTTCTCAATCTAAAAAAGGGGGCTGAAAAGCTCGGCTTATACTCGAGTGTATACGGTAGTAGGTTCTTGTGGGTTTTTTCGGGCTATAGAGCCATGTTCTAGAGGCATGGCTCTATAGCCCGAAAAAACCCACAAGAACCTAGTGATTCCAGCCATGAAAGCCTTCGACAATATATACGGTAGTCTTTGCTTAAATCTAATTTGCCTTAACAACCCCCAGTGTTATTATTTGGACCATTTTTGGAAGAGCCTGCTGTTTACTCATGGAATAACCAATAACTCCAAAGTCTTGTCTTGCTGGTTTTATTGATGATTGTATTTGCTCACACGTAAGTACTACATCTTCTTCCGGAAGTCTTTGGGGAAACTGGGATGGTGGGGTTCCTCGCCTTCTCCACCCGACCATCCCAGTTGTGCCTCGTTTCCTGCTCAACCTCTTCCTTGGGCGTGAGTCTTCTCTGATATTTACAGGTGTCCTTCACCACCTCCCACCCCATGTGGATGTGCTCAGTCCAGGTTCCTCTCCCACTCCCACCGTTGGATTATACAGATTCTCTCCCACCCTCTTAACAAACTTGGCAAGGACTTGGTCATCTTCACTCCATAGGCTTACAGGGCAGGCCAACTCAATCCGACGCGGGTCCTTTCAAGGCTGGCATGGAGGCCGAAGCCATCTTGGACTCTTGCATCTTCTCCAAGGCAAGCAACAGGTCCACTTGAGTAATTGGCCGCAACTGCTCCTCTTCCAAATCACTAGGAGTGCAATAAAGGAGAAATTACTTTATTTATTATTGATTTATAACTTTTATATCCCGATCTTCTCCGCCTCCGTAGAGGGACTCAGACCGACTCACAGCAAGGATTCAATGCTACAATACAGTCTAAAACAACATATATCAACAGAAAAATTAAAATACATCTATGTAAATAAAAATGTCATGTTCGTTTGTGGGATTCACAGAACTCAAAATCCACTGGACGAATTGACACCAAATTTGGACACAAGACACCTAACCACCCAATGTATGTCCTTCACTCAGAAAAATTGATTTTGGATTTTTGATTTTGGAGCGCCCACTTTTTGCTTGATGTTCAGGCAGTGCTTCTTGTAGGTCAGGAACGGTCCAGAGTGACTCCCAGGTATTTGGGTGCGCTGCAATGCTCCAGTGGGATTCCTTCCCAGGTAATCCTCAGAGCTCGGGATGCTTGTCTGTTCTTAAGGTGAAAAGCACATGTCTGTGTTTTAGATGGATTGGGGATCAGCTGGTTTTCCCTGTAATAGGCAGTAAGAGCACCTAGAGCTTTTGCTACTGTTATTTTGCTACTGTTATAAACTGGGTTGTTGTAGGTTTTTCGGGCTATATGGCCATTTTCTAGAAGCATTCTCTCCTGACGTTTTGCCTTCATTCATTAAGAACATTCAGAACCCCACAAATGACAGAATTGGGGCAAACCTCCCACACAGAACTTGCATGACCAACAGAAAATACTGTATTTTCTGATGATCTTTGGCAACCCCTCTGACATCCTCTCACAACACCCCCCCTCCTGGGGACCCCAGGTTGAGAACTCTGCACAGCTAGCTAGTTTACCTATCTGAATGTATTCTCCCCTATGAACCATCAAGGCTGTTAAGATCTTCTGAAGGGGCCCTGCTCTCAGTCCTACCACTTTCACAATCATGTCTGGTGGGAACGAGAGACAGGGCCTTTCTGTGGTGGCCCCTCTCTCCCAAATGAGATTAGATCCACGCCCTCCCTCCTGACCTTCAGGAAGCTAGTGAAATCCTGGCTCTGGAATGAGGCCTTCCCAGAATAATGACCGAGCCTAACAATTGAACAAAGTGATTGACCACATGTGGACTGAGTTTGGACATGAGTTTACTCTTGGCGAATTGGCTTATATGTCTTTTATTCTATACTAGCCGTCCCCTGTCATGCGTTGCTGTGGCCCACATGGGGGTTCTGTGTGGGAGGTTTGGCCCAATTCTATCATTGGTGGGGTTCAGAATGCTCTTTGATTGTAGGTGAACTATAAATCCCAGCAACTACAACTCCCAAATGTCAAGATTCTATTTTCCCCAACTCCACCAGTGTTCACATTTGGGCATATTGAATATTCGTGCCAAGTTTGGTCCAGATCCATCATTGTTTGAGTCCACAGTGCTCTCTGGATGTAGGTTAAACTACAACTCCCAAACTCAAGGTCAATGCCCACCAAACCCTTCCAGTATTTTCTGTTGGTCATGGGAGAACTGTGTGCCAAGTTTGGTTCAATTCCATCGTTGGTGGGGTTCAGAATGCTCTTTGATTGTAGGTGAACTATAAATCCCAGCAACTACAACTCCCAAATGCCAAGATTCTATTTTCCCCAAACTCACCAGTGTTCACATTTGGGCATATTGAGTAATTGTGTAGAGTTTGATCCAGATCCATCATTGCTTGAGTCCACAGTGCTCTCTGAGTGTAGGTGAACTGCAACTCCAAAACTAAAGGACATTGGCCACCAAACCCTTCCAGTATTTTCTGTTGGTCATGGGAGTCGTGTGTGCCAAGTTTGGTTCAATTCCATTGTTGGTGGGGTTCAGAATGCTCTTTGATTGTAGGTGAACTATAAATCCCAGCAACTACAACTCCCAAATGTCAAAGTCTATTTCCCCCAAACTCCACCAGTGTTTCACATTTGGGCATATTGAGTATTCGTGCCAAGTTTGGTTCAGCTCCATCATTGTTTGAGTTCACGTTGCTCTCTGAATGTAGGTGAACTACAACTCCCAAATTCAAGGTCAATGCCCACCAAACTCTTCCAGTATTTTCTATTGGTCAAGGGAGTTCTGTGTGCCAAGGTGGTTTAATTCCAGAGTGCTCCACCAGCAACTACAACTCCCAAAGTCAACCCCCCCTCAAATCCTATCAGTATTCATATTTGGGTGTATTGAGTATTTGTGCCAAATTTAGTCCAGTGAATGAAAATACATCCTGCATATCAGATGTTTATATTACGATTCGTAACAGACCTCACATCCTCTGAGGATGCTTGCCCTAGATGCAGGCAAAACGTCAGGAGAGAATGCTTCTAGAAAATGGCCATATAGCCCGAAAAACCTACAACAACCCAGTTTATAACAGTAGCAAAATAACAGTAGCAAAAGCTCTAGGTGCCCTTACTGCCTATTCCAGGGAAAACCAGCTGATCCCTAATCCATCTAAAACACAGACATGTGCCTTTCACCTCAAGAACAGAGAAGCATCCCGAGCTCTGAGGATTATTACCTGGGAAGGAAGGAATCCCACTGGAGCATTGCAGCGCACCCAAATACCTGGGAGGAGTCACTCTGGACCGTTCTCTGACCTACAAGAAGCACTGCCTGAACATCAAGCAAAAAGTGGGTGCTAGAAACAATATCATATGGAAGCTGACTGGCACAACCTGGGGATCACAACCAGACACAGTGAAGACATCTGCCCTTGCGCTATGCTACTCTGCTGAGTATGCATGCCCAGTGTGGAACACATCTCACCACGCTAAAACAGTGGATGTGGCTCTTAATGAGACATGCCGCATTATCACGGGGTGTCTGTGCCCTACACCACTGGAGAAATTACACTGCTTAGCCGGTATTGCACCACCTGACATCCGCCGGGAAGTAACAGCCAATAGTGAAAGGACCAAGGCAGTGACATCTCCAGCTCATCCCCTGTTTGGGTATCAGCCAGCACGTCAACGACCGAAATCAAGAAATAGTTTTCTAAGATCTACAGAGACACTCGCTGGAACACCTCAGCAAGTGAGAGTCCAAAATTGGCAGGCTCGAACCCAGCACCTCAATCCGTGGATGATACCAGATGAGAGACTTCCCCCTGGGCACAAAGAAGACGGGGTGACTTGGAAGGCACTGAACAGACTGCGCTCTGGCACCACGAGATGCAGAGCCAACCTCAAGAAATGGGGCCACAAAGTGGAATCCTTGACATGTGAGTGCAAAGAAGAACAAACCACTGACCACCTGCTGCAATGCACCCTGAGCCCTGCACATGATGCACCATGGAGGGCCTCCTTGCGGCAACACCAGAGGCACTCCAAGTGGCCAGATACTGGTCAAAGGACATTTAACCAGCTACCAAACTCACAAGTTGTGTATTTGTCTGTTTGTTTGCTTTGTTCTGTTAGAAATGTAATATAATGGACTGGTTGCTCTGACACGACAAATAAGTAGCAAAATGACAGTTATGAAGTAGCAATGAAAATAATGTGATGGTTGGGGGTCACCACAACATGAGGAGCTGTATTAAGGGGGTCGCGGCATTAGGAAGGTTGAGAAACACGGACTTAAGGGGACTCCATGGACCTTTTTTGGTTTTATTAGACAAGGAGCACATAGAGGTGATTTTGCCAGGAAATCCTCACCTTTCCGCCTCGCTGTCTCCGTCCTCGTGCAGCATGTGGGCTATCTGCCTCATTTGTCGCTTTCGGACATAATCGCACACCCGGTACATGGCGCCGTCCCGGCACAGTTCCCACAGGTCACTCCCAGAGTAGCCATGTGTTTTGGCAGCCAGTTCTTTCAAGCTCACGGCATTGCTCATCTGTTCCAACAACACAATCGACCTCAGAGTTAAATATTTGGCTTTAGTAAAGCTCCTGACCTTGAAGGAGCTGGGGGTGGTGACGGCCGACAGGGAGCTCTGTCGTGGGCTGGTCCATGAGGTCACGAAGAGTCGGAGACGACTGAATGAATGAACAACAACAAAGCTCCTAGATGAGATCGATCTTGGAGAAGGGGGAGAACGCGACCATAGCTACCACATTACTAAAAGCAACCTTCCTTGCACCCAACTACCAGTCAATATCTGATATTCCTGTTCTGGGCATGATCCTTGGAGTATGTGCTCGCTTCCCAAGAAACAGCTTTGGTCACCTTGGTAGATGACCTATTCAGGGAAATAGATAGGGGGATCTGTCCCTGTTGGTTCTGCCGGACTTGGGTCCTGGTTTCCAGTACCATTTGGTCCTGGTTTCCAGTACCATTGCACATGGTATCTTCTGAGCTGCCTCCTGGACATGAAACTGGGTTGGTTCCAGTTTTCTTAGAAGGACAAACTCAGAAGGTGATGATTCAAGCTTGACGCCATAGCCATGGTCTCAAGACCTCAAATGGTCCACCTGGACAAGTACTGTCAATGTTGACTAGTGATTGCTATCTCTGTTTGTGGGCAGGATTCTTGGAAGGACAAACTCAGAAGGTGGTGATTCAAGTTTGACCACATAGCCATGGTCCCAAGACCTCAAATGGTCCATCTGGCCAAGTACTGTCAACGTTGACTAGTGATGGCTATCTCTGTTTGTGGGCAGGATTTTTGGAAGGACAAACTCAGAAGGTGATTTTCAAGCTTGACCCCATAGCCATGGTCCCAAGACCTCATATCGTCCATCTGGCCAAGTACTGTCAACGTTGACTAGTGATGGCTGTCTCTGTTTGTGGGCAGGATTCTTGGAAGGACAGACTCAGAAGGTGATGATTCAAGTTTGACCCCATAGCCATGGTCCCAAGACCTCAAATGGCCCATCTGGCCAAGTACTGTCAACATTGAGTAGTGATGGCTGTCAGGGTTTGTGGCCAGGATTTTTGGCAGGACAGACTCAGAAGGTGATGTTTTAAGCTTGACCCCATAGCCATGGTCCCAGGACCTCAAACGGTCCACCTGGCCAAGTACTGTCAACATTGACTAGTGATGGCTGTCTATGTTTGTGGGCAGGATTCTTGGAAGGACAAACTCAGAAGGTGATGTTTCAAGTTTGACCCCATACTCATGGACCCAAGACCTCAAATGGTCCTTCTGGCCAAGTACTGTCAACATTGACTAGTGATGGCTGTCTCTGTTTGTGGGCAGGATTCTTGGAAGGACAAACTCAGAGGTGATGATTCAAGCTTGACCCCATACCCATAGTCCCAAGATTTCAAATGGCCCATCTGGCCAAGTACTGTCAACATTGAGTAGTGATGGCTGTCAGGGTTTGTGGCCAGGATTCTTGGCAGGACAGACTCAGAAGGTGATGTTTTAAGCTTGACCACATAGCCATGGTCCCAGTACCTCAAACGGTCCACCTGGCCAAGTACTGTCAACATTGACTAGTGATGGCTGTCTCTGTTTGTGGGCAGGATTCTTGGAAGGACAAACTCAGAGGTGATGATTCAAGTTTGACCCCATCGGCATGGTCCCAAGAACTCAAATGGTTCACCTGGACATTCAAGCTTGACCCCATACCCATGGTCCCAAGACCTCAGATGGTCCATCTGGCCAAGTACTGTCAACCTTGACTAGTGATGGCTGTCTGGGTTTGTGGGCAGGATTCCTTCTCACCTCCATCCACGTACAGGCAACGTGCAACCTGTGGGCCACTTAACATTGCTGAAATTTGTTATTTTGGCCCAAAAGGCTCTGAATGCCACCTCTGCCAAAGTAAACAAGAGCAAATAATAGATTTCCCTGCTCTTTGAAGCCCCCAGAAGAAGCGTTTTTGTCCTACAACCGAGTCATGCACCTCTGAAGGTGATGATATCCTCACATGGGGAGAAAACTAAACTATATGTGGACTTCCACCTGCTTTCCCAGGCCTACAGTGATTCCTCGGAGACAAGTTTTGCTCTTGGGCTGTGACTTTAGCCCTCATCTTTCCTAATCAGATGTCAGCTTGTGGGGCAAAGGAAGGAGAAGGGAGTCGGAGAAAGAGACTCACCTTTTCACCAGCAAGAATGAGCTTCAGAATTTCCTGCCGCTGTCTTTGTGTCTATCAGAAGACAAGAGAGAATAGGATTCTGTGAATACTTTCAAAGCTAAATAGCTCTGATCAATCCCGATTTTTCACCAGAGAGAAGTTGATATCCTAGATCCAGGAGGATCTGGGAGAAATGGCATCTCCCTTCATTGCCTGGTTGCAATAACGCAGTCTGTGCGCATTCAGAAGACCTCCAAGCCACTCTAAACACCTTTTCAGAAGCGTACGAGAAGTTCGGCCTCTCACTGAACATCGAGAAAACCAAAGTGCTCTTCCAGCAGTCACCAGCCAATCCCAGAAATACAACTTAATGGTGTAACGTTAGAGAATGTTGACTATTTCCGCTCCCTTGGTAGCCACCTCTCCACAAAAGTCAACATTCACACTGAAATTTAACACCGCCTGAGCTCTGCGAGTGCAGCATTTTTCTGAATGAAGCAGTGTTTGAGGACCAGGACATCCGTAGGGAGACCAAGGTACTTGTTTATAAAGCTATAGTCCTCCCAACCCTGCTATACGCCTGCGAGACGTGGACTGTCTATAGATGTCGAACTCAACTCTTGGAACGATTCCATCAGCGCTGCCTCTGGAAAATCCTGCAAATCTCTTGGGAAGACAGGCGAACAAACGTCAGCATGCTGGAAGAAGCAAAAACCATCAGCATTGAAGCGATGCTCCTCCACCATCAACTCTGATGGACTAGCCACGTTGTCTGAATGCCTGATCACCATCTGCCAAAGCAGTTACTATACTCCCAACTCAAGAATGGAAAACGGAATGTTGGTGGGCAGGAAAAGAGATTGAAAGATGGGCTCAAAGCTAACCTTAAAAACTCTGGCATAGACACCGAGAACTGGGAAGCCCTGCCCCCTGAGGACTCTAGCTGGAGGTCAGCTACGACCAGCAGTGCTGTGGAATCCGAAGAGGCACGAATGGAGGGCGAAAGAGAGAAATGTGCCAAGAGGATGGTGCATCAAGTCAACCCTGACCAGGACAGCCTTCCCTCTGGAGACCAATGCCCCCACTGTGGAAGAACATGTGGGTCAAGAATAGGACTCTACGGTCACCTCCGTCCCCACCGCCAAGACACTCCACTTGGAAGGCCATCATCCTCAGATTACAAGGGATTGCCTAAGTGACCTACAGTGACAAAAGCCATTGCTACCACCTTCTTTCTCATGGTCACAAAGATCCTAGGTCAGTGTTTCTCAACTGGGGGGTCGGGACCCCTGTGGGGGTCACAAGGTGGTGTCAAAGGGGTCACCAAAGACCAACAGAGAAAACAGTGTTTTCTGTTGGTCATGGGGGTTCTGTGTGTGAAGTTTGGCCCAATTCTATTGTTGGTAGGCTTCAGAATGCTCTTTGATTGTAGGTGAACTATAAATCCCAGTAACTACAACTCCCAAATGTCAAGGTCTAGTTTCCCCAAACTCCATCAGTGTTCGCATTTGGGCATGTTGAGTATTTGTGCCAGGTTTGGCCCATATCCATCATTGTTTGAGTCCACAGTGCTCTCTGGATGTAGGTGAACTACAACTCTAAAACTCAAGGTCAAAATTACAGTTATGAATTAGCAACGAAAATAATGTGATGGTTGGGGGTCACCAAAACATGAGGAACTGCATTAAGGGGTCACAGCATTAGGAAGGTTGAGAAACACTGTCCTAGGTTATTCCTTTGCATACTGAGGTGGACGAACACAGATGCGTCTTTGAATGATCTATGTTTTATTAATTTTGCTATGTGTTTACATTATATGTTTATGTTTTAAAATGTTTTTATGGTGTTGTGGGCATTGAATTGCCGCCTCGGTAAACCGCCCTGAGTCGCCTGCGGGCTGAGAAGGACGGTATAGGAAATAAATATAGTAAATAAAGGACTTATCGTTTGTTATCCCGCCATATATTAGCATCAACTGGTGTTATGCCAATCTTTTATCTTTTTTTGGTGATGTACTTTGGCCACAATAGCTGAAAAAGGTGAGAGTTTGTGAGGAGCAGATGGGAGCAGGAATCGCAAAATGGGAAAGGAAGGGTTGCTTACGGGGAGACCAATCTGGAAGGTGGTTGGCATTCTCCTCCGGATGGCCGGATCCACGTCTTGGGGCCGATTGGTGGCTCCAAGCACCATGACCTGGAAAGCAACCAAAGTGGACAGTTATCATTTTAAAGTATTTCCTTGAATGGTTTCAAACTATCAAACTATTAGATGAAGGCTTAGAAGGCAGGATCATCAAGTTTGCAGACAACACCAAATTGGGAGGGAGAGCCAAGACTCCAGAGGACAGGAGCAGGACTCAAAGGGATCTCCACAGATGAGAGAGATGATGGGCCAAAACCAACACAATGAAGTTCAACGGTGACAAATGCAAGAGACTCCACTTGGGCAGGAAAAACGAAATGCAAAGAGACAGAATGGGGGACGATGAGGCCTGGCTGGAGAGCAGGATGTGTGAAAAAGATCTTGGGGTCCTCGTGGGGAGGAAGTTAAACATGAGCCAGGAATGTGATGTGGTGGCAAAAAAAGCCAATGGGATTTTGGCCTGCATCATAGAATCATAGAATCAAAGAGTTGGAAGAGACCTCATGGGCCATCTAGTTCAACCCCATTCTGCCAAGAAGCAGGAATATTGCATTCAAATCACCCCTGACTGATGGCCATCCAGCCTCTGTTTCAAAGCTTCCAAAGAAGGAGCCTCCACCACACTCCCTCCGGGGCAGAGAGTTCCACTGCTGAACGGCTCTCACAGTCAGGAAGTTCTTCCTCATGTTCATCAATAGGAGCCTAGTGTCTAGATCTAGGGAAGTCATGCTCCCCATGCTCTATTCTGCTTTGGTTAGACCACACCTGGAATATTGTGTCCAATTCTGGGCATCACAATTAAAGAGAGATATCGACTCCAAGCTGGAATGTGTCCAGAGGAGGGCGACTCAAATGATCAAGGGTCTGGAGAACAAGCCCTATGAGGAGCGGCTTAAGGAGCTGGGCATGTTTAGCCTGAAGAAGAGAAGGCTGAGAGGAGGCATGATAGCCATGTATAAATATGTGAGAAGAAGCCACAGGGAGGAGGGAGCAAGTTGAAACATTCCCACTTAGCTCCAGCAGACAAGAGTCCTTTGTCCCACCCTGGTCATTCCACAGATATATAAACCCCTTTTCCCAGTTCCAACACACCTCACAACCTCTGAGGATGCTTGCCATAGATGCAGGCGAAACGTCAGGAAAGAATGCCTCGAGACCATGGCCATATAGCCGGAAAAACCTACAACAACCCACTGTCATAATACAGCTCTCCCATGAGCCATGTGGCAGAATCAAGCTCTTAACATGTGGCTGAAGGGGACAGGCTCTGCCTCTCCCTGTCCGGGGCTGCATTCACGGGTGATACCTGGCAGTCGGGCCCCGTCTCCAAACCATCCCAAAGACTCATGAACTCTGCTTTCATCATGGCGGTGGCTTCGTGGTCCATCTCGGAGCGGTTCCTCAAGAAGGCATCTGCCAGGAAGGATGACAAGAAGACTTCAGCCAGAGGTGTTCCTTATGGCGCCATATGCAAAGTTTGGCTCCCTAAATGCACGTTTGCCTTTCCTTATGGGAAACATGCATTTAAGGAGCCATTGCAAACTTTGCAACACAGCCAAGCATTGTACACATTCGAGTCCTTCTCTCGGACTTGTTTTTATTCCAATAATAATAATAATAATAATAATAATAATAATAATAATAATAATAACAACAACAACAACCTTATTTGTACCCCGCTACCATCTCGCCAAGGGACTCGTTGTGGCGTACATGAGGCCAAGCCCACAATACAACAATAGAAGCAATACAAGCAATAACAAATACAATACAAAGGAATTAAAATAAATTTCATACAAAAAGCATAAACATTAAACAGAATACAGTGCACATTTAAAATCTATGGCTGGGCCAAATGTAATTAAAGTTTTAAAAAATAATGCTAGGCATGAACAAGATAGAGGAGGTGGGGTGTTGATAGAGACATACAAGCAGTCCTAAATCAATATAAAGTGTATTGTCGAAGGCTTTCATGGCTGGAATCACTAGGTTCTTGTGGGTTTTTTCGGGCTATAGAGCCATGTTCTAGAGGCATTTCTCCTGACGTTTCGCCTGCATCTATGGCAAGCATCCTCAGAGGTTGAGAAGGACCTTCTCAACCTCTGAGGATGCTTGCCATAGATGCAGGCGAAACGTCAGGAGAAATGCCTCTAGAACATGGCTCTATAGCCCGAAAAAACCCACAAGAACCAATATAAAGTGCTTTTTGGGGGGGGGGGGGCATAGTGCTAAGGGTTCGTTATTCTGGAAAGGCACACTGGAACAATCACGTTTTCAAGCTCCTCCTGGAGACTGCCAGAGATGGGGCATGCCTGATGTCTTTGGGGAGCAAGTTCCAGAGTTGAGGGGCCACCACCGAGAAGGCCCTCTCCCTTGTCCCCACCAAATGCACTTGCAATGATCGTGTGGGTTTGTATACAGAGATGCGGTCACGCAGGTAGGCAGGTCCCAAACTGTTCAAGGCTTTGTAGGTGAGCACCTGCACCTTGAATTGGGATCGGAAGATGAACGGCAGCCAGTGGAGCTCCTTAAACAGGAGGGTTGACCTCTCCCTGTAAGGAGCTCCAGTTAACAACCTGGCCGCCGATCGTTGGACCAATTGGAATTTCCGGGCCATGTTCAAGGGCAGCCCCATGTAGAGTGCATTACAGTAGTCCAATCTGAAGGTGACTAAGGCATGGACCACCCTGGCCAGATCCGCCTTCACGAGGTACGGTCGCAGTTGGCGCACGAGTCTTAATTGTGCAAAAGCCCTCCCAGCCACTGCTGACGCCTGAGCTTCAAGCGTCAGTGATGAGTCCAGGAGGACGCCCAGACTGCGGACCTGTGATTTCAAGGGGAGTGCAACCCCATCCAAAACAGGTTGCCACCCTATACCTTGATCAGGTTTGCGATTGACCAGGAGGATCTCTGTCTTGTCGGGATTGATCTTCAGCTTGTTCCTCCTCATCCAGATAGACACAGCGGTCAGGCACTCGTTCAGCACCCGAGAGGCCTCCTTGGAAGTAGATGGAAAGGAGTAGTAGAGTTGTGTGTCATCTGCGTAGAGATGGCACCCAACTCCAAAACTCACTCTGGATGACCTCTCCCAGCGGTTTCATGTAGATGTTAAAGAGCATGGGAGACAGAATGGAGTCTTGCGGGACCCCACAGGTCAAAGCAGCCAATATACATCTTTCTAAATAGGTGTGAAAGTGATAAAGACTGGTGTGAACCAGATAAATTAATAGCAAAGTGTTTATTTGCTTGACTTGAAGGAAGGCACATAACAACAAACCTTCACCAAATATCTGCTCCTGGTAGAAATCAAGACTGGTGAAATGGGTTTGTAAATAGGCGTTAATACAACTGCTTGCACTTTTGTTTGCTCCAGAGATAGACATGATAAATCCTTGTCCTTCATATTTGCCATCTTCCTACTACAACAGTGTTTCTCAATCTGGGGGTTGGGACCCCTGAGGGGGTTTCAGAGGGGTTGCCAAAGACCATCAGAACACACATATTTCTGATGGTCTGAGGAACCCCTTGAGCAGAGAAGGCTATAAATCCCAGCAACTACAACTCAAAATGTCAAGGTCTATTTCCCCCAAAGTCCACCAGTGTTCACATTTGGGCATATTGCCAAGTTTTGTCCAGACCCTTCATTGTTTGAGTCTGGATGTAGGTAAAATGCACTCCAAAACTCAAGGTCAATACCCACCAAACCTTTCCAGTATCTTCTGTTGGTCATGGGAGTTCTATGTACCAAGTTTGGCACAATTCTATCACTGGTGGAGTTCAGAAGGCTCTTTGATTGTAGGTGAACTATAAATCCCAGCAACTACAACCCCCAAATGTCAAGGTCTATTTCCCCCAAACACCACCAGTCTCCACATTTGGGAATATTGAGTATCCGTACGAAGTTTGGTCCAGATCTATTATTGTTTGAGTCCACAGTGCTCTCTGGATGTTGGTGAACTACAACTCCAAAACTCAAGGCCAATGCCCACCAAACCCTCCCAGTACTTTCCTTTCGTCATGGGAGTTATGTGTGCCAAGTTTGGTCCAATTCCATTGTGAGTGGGGTTCAGAATGCTCTGTGGTTGTAGGTGAACTATACATCCCAGCAAGTTCAACTCCCAAATATCAAGGTCTATTTCCCCCAAAGTCCACCAGTGTTCACATTTTGGGCATATTGAGTATTTGTGCCAGATTTGGTCCAGATCCATCATTGTTTGATTCCTCAGTGCTCTCTGGATGTAGGTGAACTACAACTCAAAAACTCAAGGTCAATGCCCACCAAACCTTCCAGTATTTTCTGTTGGTTGTGCGGGTTCTGTGTGCCAAGTTTGGTTCAATTCCTTCGTTGGTGGAGTTCAGAATGCTCTTTGATTGTAGGTGAACTATAGATCCCAGCAACTCCAACTCCCAAATGTCAAGGTCTATTTCCCCCAAACTCCATCATAGTTCACATTTGGGCATATTGAGTATTCGTGCCAAGTTTGGTCCCGATCCATCATTATTTGAGTCCACAGTGCTCTCTGAATATAGGTGAACTACAACTCCAAAACTCAAGGTCAATGCCCACTAAACCCTTCCCAGTATTTTCTGTTTCTCATGGGAGTTCTATGTGCCAAGTTTGGTCCAATTCCATTGTGGGTGGAGTTCAGAATGCTCTTTGATTGTAGGTGAACTATAAATCCCAGCAACTACATATCCCAAATGACAAAATCAACCCCCCACCCCAACCCCACCAGTATTCAAATGTGGGCGTATTGGGTATTTGTGCCAAATTTGGTCCAGTGAATGGAAATACATCCTACATATCAGATATTTACATTGTGATTCATAACAATAGCAAAATCACAGTTGTGAAATAGCAACGAAAATAATGTTCTGGTTGGGGGTCACCACAACAGGAGGAACCGTATTAAGGGGTCGCGGCATTAGGAAGGTTGAGAAACACTGTACTAGAACATTACAATTCTGAGCAAGCGCTCAAACACCATAAAGGCTGACCGTAGGATACAGACGAGAGAGCTACAGAAGTCACCTATTTCGTCTATGAAGATGATGCAGGGTTGGATCTTGGTTGCCAGAGAGAAAACGGCGGCCGCGAGCTTCTGCGACTCCCCGTACCATTTGTCCGTCAAGGTGGAGGCCTGGAGGTTGATGAACCTGCATCCCGACGCCTGGGCAATGGCTTTGGCAAGGAGGGTTTTGCCGCAGCCCGGAGGACCATAAAGTAAGACACCTGGTGAGAAGGTAAAGGCATAATCTCAGCTTCACCGTGGCTTCCTCCCTCAATCTCCATTTCCTTTGCGCCATAAAACATGTGGTTTTAGCAACACAAAAGTAGAGTTGCTGAAGACTTGCACTGCTTATCTGCACGCAGGTAGGAGTACATTTGACCTCCCCACCACTGTACTAAGGCTAAAGAAGAAAACAGGATGTTTATCAGTGTGCAGGTACAACTGTACCAGGAGCTCCAATTTTGTTTGCTTTGCATTGAATGTTTGTTGCAGTCCTAAGTTTCAGGGACTCTGCAGATAGGTGGCTTCTTTTGGCTGCAATCATAGGGCAAGCCACCTGTCAATTATAGTTAGGTTCCCTGGTCCCGCCCCTTTTTGAGTTTTGGAGGGAATAGGAGCCATTTTGGGTCAGTCCACACAGAGAAGCCTTTCATGCAGGACATAAAACCAAGAGCTCCTGTAGAAAGCTTCGTCTTCTACGGCTTGGCCGGGGAGATATACAGCCTACAGCCTACAGCCTACAGCTTGGCCGCGGGAGAAAAGGCCCCACAGCTTGGCTGTGGATTTTGCAGCCTTACAGCTCCTTCGCTGAGGGACTTCAGTCAGCCATCACAGCAACCTGAACTCCTTCTTTTCCCCTGGAAGTCTACAAAGCTCTGCTTGGTAAGGGTCACTCGGAGGAAGCCAGAAGCAGTTGGTACCGGGTGCAGGGGCTCCACGCCAACAGAGGCAAAGACAGACTGCCCAGATTAGAAGTTAAGGATTTCCCCATTAGTTACAGTTAGGAAGATAGTGCCTGTTCCCTGTGGACAAGATTGAAAGAGCCTATGGACTGTTAAGAAAGCTTTAAAATACCTGTTTGCTTTCCTTAATAAAGAACATTGTTGAACCTTTAAGCAATCTAAAGACTCTGTGTTGTAAGGAAATCCAAAGGCCTTTAATCTGAGGCAGCCCCGGCATCCCGTTGGGCACACAGAATTTATGTCCTGTCTACAGTCTGATGCACAGGCCCAGCGTGCGACAACACAATCAGGTTGTTGTGAGTTTTCCAGGCTGTCTGGCCATATTCCAGAAGCATTCTCTCCTGATGTTTCACTGCATCTGTGGCAGGCATCCTCAGACGTTGTGAGGTTTGTTGGAAACTACGAAAAGTAAGTTTGTATATCAGTGGAAGGTATCTCCCTCCATGAACCAACTCGGGCCCGCTGATCTTCTGGGGAGACCCTCCTTTTGCCGCTGCCAGTTTCACAAGCTCGCCTTCATAAAAAGGATGGTTCCTTCACTCAACGTGTGGTGTGTTTATAGTCAGACGGGCCATTTCCTGTTCCGGAGTGCAACACAATCACAGGCTGAACTCCAACAAATAATACGCTGGAGACAAATGATTTATTTCCTTCTTTAGGTTCTTGTGGGTTTTTTCGGGCTATAGGGCCATGTTCTAGAGGCATTTTCTCCTGACGTTTTGCCTGCATCTATGGCAAGCATCCTCAGAGGTAGTGAGGATTTCCTTCTTTCCTCAGTCCCTGAAAGACAGTTCTAATGTTTCCTGCTCAAACACCCTGTAATATAGCATCCCAACTCCCATCAGCTCTCTAGTGGCCAAACACCGTGCCCACAGTCTGTTAACTGCAATTTCTATTTTCATCACAAAACAGATTTATTTTTTTGGTCATGTCAGGAGCCAGTCCAAGGATGATAGGGTGATCTCAATTGTGTGTGTGATGACTTTGCCTTCGAGTTGAGTTTGACTAATTTATTTATTTGTTTGTTTATTTGGGGTGCTTCTACCCCGCCCTTCTCAACCCCCGAGGGGGGACTCAGGGCGGCTTACAAAAAGGCACAATTCGATGCCTAACAAAATGTCACAAAATACAACACAATATACAATACGCAATACACAAATTTACCATATAATGTCAACAATTATAACTAATTAAAACAGTCAAACAATATACTAGCAGCAATAAAAACATCTTGTGGTCAATGTTCGCAGAGGCGGCCCTAGGTAATTTTCAATGGTAAGCAAACAGTATTTTGCCCCCCCCCCTCCCCCACCAATCATTGATATATATTTTCTGTTTGTTGTGGGAGTTCTGTGTGCCATATTTGGTTCAATTCCATCATTGGTGGAGTTCAGAATGCTCTTTGATTGTAGGTGAACTATACATCCCAGTAACTACACTTGCCGCATTTGCTCCCTTGCCTGGCTCGCTTTGGGTCCGGAGGCATGCACCAAAAGTCACCTAGCAATCGGGGGGAGACTCGGCTTTCTTTTTTTTTTTGAGGGGGTGCTCCTCAAGTGGCAGTCGAGGGGCATTTACAGAGGCGCCTCTGCGCCCCTGGCAAAAAAAGAAGTGTTCTGCGACCGCTTACTTCGCGTAATGGATGAGCCGCCCCTGAATGTTTGCCAATTCATAGTCCGTAATCCATCTAGCATTGTCGTTATCCTTTCCTACTCTGGCCATCATTGGTTGTCTTTGTCCATCTGCCAGCTTACCCGAAGGCCTGATCCCACATCCAAGTTTTTAGCTTCCTTCTGAAAGCAAGGAGGGATGTCGCTGTCCTAATCTCCCCCGGGAGTGCATTCCACAGGCGAGGGGCCATCTCCGAGAAGGCCCTGTCCCTCGTCCCCACCAGTCTCGCTTGTGATAGAGGTGGGGCTGAGAGCAGTGCCTCCCCAGAAGATCTTAAAGTCCGAGGCAGGACGTAGAAGGAAATGCGTTCAGACAGATACGCAGGGCCGGAGCCATAAAGGGTTTTGTAGGTCAAAACCAGCACTTTGAATTGTGCTCGGAATTGGATCGGCAGGCAGTGGAGCTGAAACGGGGGGGGGGGGTGTGCTCCCTGTATGACGCTCCGGTGAGTAATCTGGCTGCCTCCCGCTGGACTAGTTGGAGTTTCCGAGCAGTCTTCAAAGGCAACCCACGGTAGAAAAGGTATGTTTTGGAATTGTTGCAGAGCCTACCTCTTGGCGGCTGGCAGAGAGCGGAGTGCCGAAACAAATGCCTCTTCTGGAATGGCAGGATGACCGAGTCCTGGAGCTCACGGACCGTCTCCTCTAGGCCTGCAACATCTCTCCAAGAGACCTGTGGATGGACAAGCCATGAGGATGGCACAAAGACCCTGCGGTGCATCTATACCAGGCGTCCTCAAACTAAGGCCCAGGGGCCAGATATGAAACACATTGAAAAAACATACATGCATACTTTCAATAATCCTGACAGAGGAAACTGAAAACCACAACACAGCTACTCCCACGAACTATGGCTTTCAAAGTGGCGTCTATAATAAAGTTAAAGGATATCTAGGGCAGGGGGGAACAACAATCAATCCCACCGCTGCCACCCAAGGCAAGGGAGAATAAAATATTATAAATGACCGAATGTTCTTGGTAGTATTAGCCGCCACCACTTCAGAATTATTGGCCTGAGGAACCAAAGGTGTGAATGTGTTATAGGTAAGGGGTGTTTGAGCTCTTGATTCTTCTATTGTTTCTTCACTGGATGACTGGACTTTAAAATGGGTTTGGCAGAGTGAGTTCTGAGGAAATGGATAGATTGAGGCATACACCAGTTAAAAGTTAACTAGAAAGAGTTTATTGAACTTTATATTAACAACAACTCATAGAAATGAGTGGTACAGAAGCGTGATTCAGTTGCAGAAACTTGGTTACTTAAACAAATAGTTCCCCTGACAGAAAAGCTTTTAAAATTGTGAGTTCCCTAAAAACACACTGCCCTATCCTAGGAAACAGTGTCAACTGGAGAACAGACTCCTATCTGTCTCCACCACAGGGCAGTAAGCTCCCTTATACTATCCCAAGTATAAGGAGACAAATCTTTCTTTTACTGGCCCTCACAACACAGTAAAATCCTAGCCTTTGTCTCAGGCTATTCCCTAAACTTAAGGCTCACTAAAAGCTCTTCCTTTTCTGTCAGATCCCTGCTCTATCTAGCTTCCTCTCCTAAAAATCCCTTCCTTCTCTCTCCCTTGTCAAAACACTTCTCCCTCTCTGTCAAAAGCTGACAGCTTATTTTCCTCTCTTAACCGACTCCTCCCCCAATTGCTATACCCAATCAGGAGTCGGCTTGACTCCTCCTCCTGTCCTGCCTGCCTTCCAAGATGACAGCCACTGTCATGCAGGCTTCGGCCTAGTCGTCTCAAAGGTAGATTTCATCACAGCGTCGAACTGCATTCTTTCTCCAGTGTAGATGCACCCTTGGTTTTGTTTTTGTTTTTTGTTTTTTCCAAATGCTGCAATGCTGAATGAGAAGCCTAATGGGATTCTGAAATTAATAGGTCTTTCTTAAGTTGGAGAGATAGAGTCGCCTTCCATCTTACCTTCATGTCTCTCGGAACGACCAAATGGGAGGCAATGGCCATCTCGTGTTCGGTCAGTTTCAGCCTCTCCACTCCAATCTGTTTCATCAAGCCTTCAGCCTGTTGCCAGGGAAAGAAAGCATTGGATCACCTTCCCCTCTGCATCCCTCTCTCCAGTGACTATATAGCAAGCATAGGCAAACTTCACCCCTCCAGGTGTTTTGGACCCCCATCTCCCACAATTCCTAACAGCCTACCGGCTGTTAGGAATTGTGGAAGTTGGGGTCCAAAACACCTGGAGGGGTGAAGTTTGCTCATGCCTGCTACATATTTATTTATTTATTTACTTTATTTGTATACCGCTCTTCTCAGCCCTTAGGCGACTCAGAGCGGTTTACAACAATTTAGGTATACACAATACAAAATCATTAAGCATTTAAAAGCAATAGCATCACAAATCATTAAACATCAATACATCAATACAACAAATCTATCAGGTCTCGTCAATGAAATCAGAATCCAAACTCGTTATCCGATATTCCGTGTTCCGATAGTCAGTCAATCAGTCACACTGCTTAGTCGAATGCCTGTTCAAACAGCCAGGTCTTTACTTTCGTCCGGAATGCCAGCAAGGAGGGGGCCGATCTAATATCTGCAGGAAGGGCGTTCCACAGCCGAGGGGCCACCACTGAGAAGGCCCTGTCTCTCGTCCCCGCCAGGCGTGCTTGTGAAGCCGGCGGGATCGAGAGCAGGGCCTCCCCAGACGATCTTAATGTCCTAACTGGTTCATAGGAGGAGATGCGTTCGGACAGATAGGTCGGCCAGAACCGTTTAGGGCTTTAAAGGCTAAAGCCAGCACTTTGAATTGTGCCCGGTAGCAAACTGGCAGCCAGTGGAGCTGGCGCAGCAGAGGAGTGGTATGCTCCCTGAGTGCTGCTCCTGTTAGTATCATGGCTGGGACCATTTAAAGCTTCCGAGCAGTCTTCAGAGGCAACCCCACGTAGAGAGCGTTGCAGTAGTCTAAACGGGATGTGACTAGAGCATGGACTACCGTGGCCAAGTCAGACTTCCCAAGGTACGGGCGCAGCTGGCGCACAAGTTTTAACTGTGCAAATGCTCCCCTGGTCACCGCCGAAACCTGGGGTTCCAGGCTCAGCGATGAGTCCGGCATCACACCCAAGCTGCGAACCTGAGTCTTCAGGGGGAGTGCGACCCCGTCCAACACAGGCTGTAACCCTATACCCTGTTCGGCCTTGCGACTAACCAGGAGTACCTCTGTCTTGTCTGGATTCAGTTTCAATTTGTTCGCCCTCATCCAGACCGTCACAGCGGCCAGGCACCGGTTCAGGACCTGGACAGCCTCCTTAGTAGCAGGTGGAAAGGAGTGACAGAGTTGGACATCATCCGCGTACATATGACACCGTACCCCGAAACTCCGGATGATCTCCCCCAGCGGCTTCATGTAGATGTTAAACAACATGGGAGACAATATTGAGCCCTGAGGAACCCCACAAGACAATGGTTGTGGGGTTGAACAGGTGTCTCCCAGTAACACCTTCTGAGATCGACCCTCCAGGAATGACCGGAGCCACTGCAGAACAGTACCTCCGAGACCCATCCCCGAGGCATCCCAGAAGGATACCGTGGTCAACGGTATCGAAGGCCACTGAGAGGTCCAGCAGAACCAACAGGGACACACTCCCCCTGTCCAGCTCCCGGCGAAGATCATCCACTAAGGTGACCAAGACTGTTTCAGTTCCATGTCCCGACCTAAAGCCTTTTAATGGACCTTTTAATTATACCCATGTGTTTGTTCTCCTCCAAAAACATTATTATTATTATTATTATTATTATTATTATTATTATTATTATTATCTTTATTCGTACCCCGCTAACATCTCCCGAAGGACTCGGTGCGGCTTACAAAGGCCAAGGCCCTCAATAAAACAACAGCATAACAAATACAACAATAAAAACTCAAAAAAGCAAACCAATAAACATTAAAGCAATAAACAGTAAACATTAAACAATAACATCATGACGCATTTAAAACTAAAGGCCGGGCCAAATGTAATGAATAAAATTTCAAAGTGCTGGACATGACAGGTGGAATGTATAGATTTTTAGAGGTAGGTGCCATGTGCAGACAATCTTAAATCTCTAATAAAGTGCATTTGGGACATGATGCTAGGAGTTTCCTATTCTGGGAAGGCACACCGGAACAGCCAGGTCTTCAAGCTCTTCCTAAAGACTGTCAACGTTGGGGCTTGTCTGATGTCCTTGGGGAGGGCGTTCCAGAGTCGGGGGGCCACCACAGAGAAGGCCCTGTCCCTCGTCCCCACCAAACGCGCTTGCGACGCAGGTGGGATCGTGAGCAGGGTCTCTCCAGATGAATGGAGGGATTGTGTGGGCTCATATACGGAGATACGGTCACGCAGGTAGGTGGGTCCCAAACCGTTTAGGGCTTTGTAGGTAAGCATCTGAACCTTGAATTTGGACCGGAAAATGAACGGCAGCCAATGGAGCTCCTTAAACAGGAGGGTTGACCTCTCTCTGTAAGGAGCGCCAGTTAACACCCTGGCCGCCGCCCGTCCAGTTGGAATTTCCGAGCCGTTTTCAAGGGCAGCCCCATGTAGAGCGCATTACAGTAGTCCAATCTGGAGGTGACCAAGGCATGGACCACCCTGGCCAGATCAGCCTTTACAAGGTACGGTCACAGCTGGCGCACAAGTCTTAGTTGTGCAAAAGACTCCCGGCCACTGCCAACGCCTGAGCCTCAAGCGTAAGTGATGAATCCAAGAGGACTCCCAAACTGCGGACTGTGACTTCAGGGGGAGTGTAACCCCGTTCAACACAGGTTGCCACCCTATACCCCGATCCGGTTTACGATCGACCAAGAGGACCTCTGTCTTGTCGGGATTGATCTTCAGCTTGTTCCTCCTCATCCAGATAGACACAACATCCAGGCACTCGAGAGGCCTCCTTGGAATTGGGTGGAAATGAGTAATAGAGTTGTGTGTCATCCGCATAGAGGTGGCACCTAACTCCAAAACTCCGGATGACCTCTCCCAGCGGTTTCATGTAGATGTTAAAGAGCATGGGAGACAGAATAGAACCTTGCGGGACCCCACAGGTCAAAGGCCAGGGGTCCGAGCAGGCGTCTCCCAGCTTCACCATCTGGGATCGACCCTCCAGGAAGGACTGGAGCCACAACAAAGCCATGCCCCCAAGGCCCATTCCAGAGAGTTGTCCCAGAAGGATACCATGAATTAATGCAGTTGACACCACTTTAACCACTATGGATCAATCCGATGGAGTTGAGAGGCTTCCTGGATATTATGTGGATATGCAGAACTGTGGATAATAGCATAGAGTCGAGTTCAAGCATATTTTGTTGGGTGTGGATAAAGAAAACCACGGATAATGGTCACGACACAACAGAGCCGAGCCTCCTAGGCCCATCTTGGAGAGTCGTCCCAGGAGGATACCATGATCGATGGTATCGAAAGCTGCTGAGACATAGAAAAAATAGCCACCAATAGTATCATCGCTCCACCTCTGTGGTAGCAAAAACCGCAGGTGAGAAAGGTATGAACGAGGTGGCACTTGGATGATTGAGCTCCGCATACCTTTTTCTTGAGATGGATCCTCTGCTTCCGACTCGGGTCCAAAGCATCCGAGACCCACTTGATGCTGAAATAGGTGGTGGCCCCAAAAATAGTCAGGCGGAGGAGGGTGCCCAAGACCTCGTTCCGGGTCAGTGGCCGGGTCAAGACTTCCTTGGAGAGTTCCCCAAGAAGCATTTTTTTCCAGATCAGAAGCTGACCTAGGATTTCCTTAAACAGGAGACACATTGAAATATTAAAGAGATAGTTCCAAATATAAGGCACAACCACCTAACCTGTTTGCAATTGTCAAATAAATTGTGTTGAAGAGCCTTTTCAGTAGTAGTTCCATGCCAACTATACAAACCCCATGAATCCCTTGTGGCGCATCCGCACTGTAGAATTAATGCAGTTTGATACCATGGCTCAATGCTATGGAATCCCAGGAATTGTAGTTTTACAAGGTCTCTAATTTTCTCGAGCAATTTATCTACCATGGTTCAATGCTATGGATTTCTGGGAGTTGTAGTTTTACAAGGTCTCTAATTTTCTCTGGCAATTCATCTGCCATGGTTCAATGCTATGGATTTCTGGGAGTTGTAGTTTTACAAGATCTCTAATTTTCTCTGGCAATTTATCTACCATGGTTCAATGCTATGGATTTTTGGGAGTTGTAGTTTTGCAAGGTCTCTAATTTTCTCTGGTGATTTATCTGCCATTGCTCAATACTATGGAACTCTGGGATTTGACATTTTACAAGGTGTCTCATTTTCTTTGCCAGTTTATCTGCCATGGCTAAATCCTATGGAATCCTGGGAGTTGTAGTTTTACAAGGTCTCTAATTTTCCCTGGCAATTTATCTGCTGTGGCTCAATGCTACAGAATCCTGGGATTTGCAGTTTCACAAGGCCTCCAATTTTTCTCTGCCCAAATGTGGGTGCCTTGCCAAACTACAAATCCCAGGATTAAAGAGCAGTCAAACTGCATACATTCTATAGTGAAAAATGGATCCTTAGTCTAGGGACACCCAAGAGGGTGCTTCTACATTGTAGAATTATTGCACTTTAACACCACTTTGCCATAGCTATTGAGCCATGGGAGGTGTAGTTTTGCAAGGTCTTTAGCTTCCTGTACCAAAGAATGCTGGTACTTTAGCAAACTCCAACTCCCAGGGCAGTTAAAGTGGTAACAAACTGGATTAATTCTACAATTTAGATGCGCTCTAGGAGACGATGTTGCCAGTTGCACCCTCCAAAAAAGAACCAATGATATTTGGCACTCCTTGGCAGTTTACATAGTGCAAAAAGTGTATTAATTCTATAGGACAGAGATGATTTTGCTAGCTTCCCGCTCTGAAGTAGAATTGGTCTCCCATCCAAGCACTAACCAAGGACTAGCTCGAGAGCAGGACGTGTGGAAAAGATCTTGGAGTCCTCGTGGGGAGGAAGGGGGACATGAGCCAGGAATATGATGTGGTGGCAAAAAAAGCCAATGGGATTTTGGCCTGCATCAAGAGGAGCCTAGTGCCTAGATCCAGGGAAGTCATGCTCCCCATGCTCTATTCCGCCTTGGTTAGACCACACCTGGAATATTGTGTCCAATTCTGGGCACCACAATTCAAGAGAGATATTGACAAGCTGGAATGTGTCCAGAGGAAGAGGGCGACTAAAATGATCAAGGGTCTGGAGAACAAGCCCTATGAGGAGCGGCTTAAGGAGCTGGGCATGTTTAGCCTGAAGAAGAGAAGGCTGAGAGGAGACATGATGAGGGCCAGGTATAAATACGTGAGAGGAAGCCACAGGGAGGAGGGAGCAAGCTAGGACGCAATGGAACAATGGCTTCAAACTACAAGAGAGGAGATTCCATCTGAACACGAGGAAGAACTTCCTGACTGCGAGAGCCGTTCAGCAGTGGAACTCTCTGCCCCGGAGTGTGGTGGAGGCTCCTTCTTTGGAAGCTTTTAAACAGAGGCTGGATGGCCATCTGTCAGGGGTGCTTTGAATGCAATATTCCTGCTTCTTGGCAGAATGGGGTTGGACTGGATGGCCCACGGTCTCTTCCCACTCTAGGATTCTATGATTCTGGCTTTGTATATATCTTTGCATTTAATAGAAGCCAAGCAGGCGGGAAACAAAGGACGGGAATGAAAGAATGAGTGTATTGTCGAAGGCTTTCGTGGCTGGAATCACTAGGTTCTTGTGGGTTTTTTCGGGCTATATGGCCATGTTCTAGAGGCATTTTCTTCTGACGTTTTGCTTGCATCTATGGCAAGCATCCTCATTGTCATACCTCACTACCTCTGAGGATGCTTGCCATAGATGCAGGCCAAATGTCAGGAGAAAATGCCTCTAGAAGATGGCCATATAGCCCAAAAAAACCCCACAAGAACCTAAAGAATGAGTGAATGGCAGGAGGAGGAGGAGAGAAGGAGGAGGAATCCCAGATTACCAACAGAAATTGATTAAATTAGGTTGCCAATATTAAATGAGGGTGCAGCCCCCCTACCCAAGAAATCCCTTTTTTCAACCCATTCAAAGCTAACCTGCTTTGCAAGCACAGAGTCTGGCTCTTGGGCGCTGACCGTGGTGCTGAATGATGGAAGGCAGGAAGAGGAGGAAGGAGGCCGCCCTTGGCATGAAAGAGAAGAGGGAATGCATACCAGGAGGGAAGGCCGGCTCTGGTTGGCTGCTGAGGCTCCAGTAGGCAAGGCTCTCCGCTTAGGAACAAGAGCCGCAGCAAAAACATTCCTACCTCCAAGGTTGCTGTGAGTTTTCCGGCCTGTCTGGCCATGTTCCAGAAGCATTCTCTCCTGATGTTCCCCCCACAACTATGGCAGGCATCCTCAGAGGGTGTGAGGTCTGTTGGTAACTAGGCAAGCTGGGGATATATATACATATGTATATGTATATGTATATGTATATACATTGTTGTTGTTGTTCATTCGTTCAGTCGTCTCCGACTCTTCGTGACCTCATGGACCAGCCCACGCCAGAGCTCCCTGTCAGCCGTCACCCCCAGCTCCTTCAAGGTCAGTCCAGTCACTTCAAGGATGCCATCCATCCATCTTGCCCTTGGTCGGCCCCTCTTCCTTTTGCCTTCCACTTTCCCCAGCATAATTGTCTTCTCTACTTCAGTCTACTACTACTGAGGGATATCTGGAAAGTAGTGGGTTAAAGCACTGAGCTGCTGAGCTTGTTGATCGAAAGGTCGCAGGTTCGATCCCGGGGAGCGGCGTGAGCTACCGCTGTCAGCCCTAGCTTCTGCCAACCTAGCAGTTCGAAAACATGCAAATGTGAGTAGATCAATAGGTACCCTCAGGCGGGAAGGTAACAGTGCTCCATGCAGTCATGCTGGCCACATGACCTTGGAGGTGTCTATGGACAACGCTGCCTCTTCGGCTTAGAAATGGAGATGAGCACCAGAGTCCCAGAGTCAGACATGACTGGACTTAATGTCAGGGGACTACCTTTACCTTTACTATATATACATACACACATATATATGCACTAGCCACTGGACTGACCTTGAGGGAGCTGGGGGTGGTAACGGCCGACAGGGAGCTCTGGCGTGGGCTGGTCCATGAGGTCACGAAGAGTCGGAGACGACTGAACGAATGAACAACAACAAGCCATCTGCTGAGGGCCCAGTTGCTAGACTTTGGAACGGGGATGCGACTTCTAGTCTCAAGGACTGGGCCATTGCCTATATATATATATAATGCTCTGTACATAATGAGAACCTTAAAAACAAAAGAACCAATGAACAAAATCACATCAAATTTGGCAACAAAAGTCTCACAACACAAGGAGTGACCATCACTCAAAAAATTATGATTTTGTCATTTGGGAGTTAGTTGCTGGGATTTATAGTTCACCTACAATCAAAGAGCATTCTGAACTCCACCAACAATGGAATTGAACCAAACTTGGCACACAGGACACCCATGACCAACAGAAAAGACTGGAAGGGTTTGATGGGCACTGACCTTGAGTTTTGGAGTTGTCGTTCACTGACATCCAGAGAGCACTGTGGACACAAGCAATGATGGATCCGGACCAAACTTGGCGCAAACACTCAATACGCCCAAATATGAGTTTGGGGGAAATAGACCTTGACATTTGGGAGTTGTAGTCACTGGGATTCACAGTTCACCTAGAATCAAAGAGCATTTTGAACCCCACCAACAACAGAATTGGGGCAAACTTCCCACACAGAACCCCCATGACCAACAGAAAATACTCAAGAACATCCAGTCCAACTCCCTTCACAAGGGCAAGAAAATGTAACCAAAGTCCTCCTGATAAAGAGCCATCCAGCCATAGATATAGATGGATGGATGGATAGATAGATATCATTCACATACACAAAGATATAGTATCCTAGATTGGAAAGGGACCCCTATAGAAGGGCAATGATATGTTGCATGTTCTAGAGGAGGCAAACCAGACACTCTCCACATCAACACTGACAAAGAAACAGCAAGAAATATTGTTTACCCACAAACATCAAGACATAACATATATTAGAAATCAATACTTTCTCGTTACTTTATTTTTCCAGATCAACAGACTGGGCCACAGCAACGTGTGGCAGGGGACAGCTAGTGTGTGTGTGTGTGTATGGTTTTGTGCATGCTTTGTAATGTTTTTTTTTTTTGCTTTTTAAGTCTCTTCTGCTGTGTTTTTCAGTGTTTCTTTGAGTGATGGTCACTCGTTGGCCGGATAGGTATATTGTGTCCAGATTTGGTGTCAATGCATCCAGTGGTTTTTGAGTTATGTGAATCCCACAAACAAACATTACATTTATATATATATATGTGTATGTGTGTGTGTGTATCTGTGGAATGATGTCCAGGGTGGGAGAAAGAACTCTTGTCTGTTTGAAGCAAGGGTGAATGTTGCAATGGGCCACCTTGATTAGCATCGAATGGCCTTGCAGCTTCAAGGTCTGGCTGCTTACTGCCTGGGGGAAACCTTTGTTGGGAAATGATTAGCTGGCTTTGATTGTTTCTTGTCTGGAATTTATTTATTTATTTACAGCATTTATATGCCACTCTTCTCACCCCAAAGGGGATTCAGAGTGTCTTACAAGATATATATATATATACATATAATACAATATAATAATAATATATAATAATAATAATATATTATATTATTAGCATAGCACAATATCAGTATTATATTTTACTATATGGTAGTATACCATTATATTGTAATATTATTAGTAATATTCCATGTAATATAAAATATATAATTATAATATTGTATTATTATTAGTTGTATTACATTGCATTACATTACAATATTGTAATGTAATGCAATGTAACTCTCGGCTCCGGAACTCTCTCCCATTGGAGATTAGAACTGTCCCTTCGCTCCTGACCTTTAGAAAGTTGGTGAAAACCTGGCTCTGGAACCTGGCATTTGATGAGTGAGTCAATAACTCTTGACCACACAGACGGATGGGATGAATAGAGATTTTTATTCTGACGACTTGGCCTTATGTAATTATATGATTGTATTTTAATGTGTTTTATATTAGGGTATTATTGGATGTGATGTTTTAAACTATTGTGTATGAATTCCCATGTTGTAAACCGGCCTGAGTCCCTCGCTGGAGGTGAGAAGACTGGTATATAAAAGTTCTAAATAAATAAATATTATAAATATTAAATGTATGTATATTATATTATATTATTAGTATGACAAAGGGGAGAATTCCCCTGCTTTCTGAGTGTTGCTCTTTATTTACTGTCCTAATTCTAGAGTTTTTTTAAAAAATACTGGTCGCCAGATTGTGTTCGTTTTCACGCTTTCCTCCTTTCTGATGAAATTGTCCACATGCTTCTTGTGGATTTCAATGGCTTCTCTGTGTAGCCTGACATGGTGACCGAGGCATCTGCTTGTCCGGTTTTGTGGGATTCCTTCCGGCTTGTTCATCATGAGGACGTGGAGGGGATCCTTGGGGCTGTGAGGGCAACCACGTTGGCTCTGGACCCTTGCCCCTCTTGGCTAATTAAATCGGCCAGAGGTGGATTGATTGATTGATTGGTTTGTGTTAATCATTGATGCATCGTTGGAGCAAGTCAAAAAAGAAACCCCATCAAAGCCTTGGCAGACTGTGCAAAAAGAATCTGGGAAGCCCACCTCCTCCAAGAGGCAGGAGTGGCACCCAGCGCACAGCAGGTCGCCTTCGTGGCGTTCCTTGCGCTTGGGAAGCAGCTGGCGCTCCAAATCTAGGAGCTTTTCACCAGCACAGCGCTCCTGGTCTTCTTGTGGCCACAGTCCAGGACCATATGGCCACTCTCCCTCTCCACCTCGCCACCGTGAGTATCGGCATGATCGCAGGGAGACTCTGCGCCATCATGCCCAAGACTATGTGCACTATTCTCCTGATGGGAGGCCTTACTGTCTCCTGCAGGCTTCTACAGGCTTCTACCTCCTTACTGCCTTCATGCTCTTCTACCCTGCTGCCATTGCACCAGGTTGAGCAACACCATGTGGCTACAATACCTCCAGAACCAGAGCATGATATTGCTTCTGCTTCTGAGTCAGGCTCCTCAGTGCAGGAAGCTACACCTCCAGAGCCTGTGGATACCAATTCAAAGTGCTGGTGTTATCCTACAAAGCCCTAAACGGTTCCGGCCCAAAATACCTTTCGGACCGCATCTCGGCCTATGAGCCCACGAGGGCCTTGAGATCATCCGGGGAGGCCCTTCTCTCGATCCCGCCCGCCTCACAGGCACGTCTGGCGGGGACGAGAGAGAGGGCCTTCTCAGTGGTGGCCCCCCGGCTGTGGAACACCCTCCCTGTTGACATCAGACAGGCGCCCTCCCTTATGGCTTTTCGTAAGAGCCTAAAGACCTGGCTATTCGAGAAGGCATTTAATTGAGACCCACACGAACTTGGTTATGAAATTGGAACGGACTATGGATTATGAGACTGGCTATGACTCTATGTTGTGATGGCGCGGATCTATTAGTGTAATTTAGATTAATGTGTAACTCGATTGTTGTTATATTGTATGTTTTTGTAGATGGTTTTTACATGTTGTACACCGCTGCGAGTCGCCCCAGGGCTGAGAGCGGCGGTCAACAAATGAAGTAATAATAATAATAATAATAATACCGTGGCATCATCAACTCCAGAGGATGCCCCCGGATTTTTGGCCCTTATGATCTGTATGTCTAAGGCCCTCAATTTTTCTACACCAAAATGATGGCAGCCTGTTGAGGATTCTATTTTTCCTCCTCATGAGCAGGTCCAGCAGCCATTGGCTTCTACAACCTTACCAGCCTCCTCCAAGATGAACGGAACCACCTCAACTGGGCTCTCCAGGCCAATGGATACTCCACCTCAGACATCAGAAGAGCCGCAAGACCACCGAGAAGAAGCCACGAGAGTCAAGACAGAGATCCACCCAGAGGGAAAGTGTTTTTCCAGACATCAAGGGAACCACTGACCGCAGAAGGAAGCTGATGAGGAAACACAACGTACAAACTATCTCCAGACCCACCAAGAAAATCCAACCAACGCTACGTTCAGCAAAGGACAAGAGGGATCCTCTCACCTCTGCAGGAGTCTACCATTGTATCCCATGCAGCTGTGGACAAGAAGTCTCCAGAGGGACCACCAAACGCAGCAGCAGCGTTGCCCAACCACAAATCAAGGAACATGAAAGGCACTGCAGACTGACTCGACCAGAGAAGTCAGCCATAGCAGAGCACCAGAGGAACCAGCCTGGACACAGCATTTTATTTGAGAACACAGAAGTGCTGGACCACTCTCTCAACCACCATGTCAGACTACACAGAGAAGCCATTGAAATCCACAAGAAGCATGTGGACAATTTCAACAGAAAGGAGGAAACCATGAAGATGAACAAAATCTGGCTACCAGTATTAAAAAAGTATAAACTTAAAATAGCAAAACAACAGAGGGGAAACAATCAGGGACATCTAATCACCTCTCAACAAAAGATTCCCCCAGGCACTGCCAGGCAATCAAATGTTAATCAAGGTGATCAGCTGAAACATTCACACCTAGCCCCAGCAGACAAGAGTTCCTTGTCCCACGCTGGTCATTCCACAGATATATAAACCCTTTTTCCTAGTTCCAACAGACCTCACTACCTCTGGGAATGCTTGCCACAGATGCAGGCGAAACAAAAGGAGAGAATGCCTCTAGACCATGGCCATATAGCCCGAAAAAACCTACAACAACCCAGATAGGAAACAATCAGGGACATCTAATAATCACCTCTCAGGAAAAAATTGCTCCAAGCACTGCCAGGCCATTATATGCTAATCAAGGTGGTCAGTTGAAACATTCACACCTGGCTCCAGCAGACAAGAGTCCTTTGCCCCACCCTGGACATCATTCCGCAGATATATAAACCCATTGTCCTATTTCCAACAGACCTCACTCCCTCTGAGAATGCTTGCCATAGATGCAGGCGAAACAAAAGGAGAGAATGCCTCTAGACCATGGTCATATAGCCCGAAAAAACCTACAACAACCCAGATAGGAAACAATCAGGGACATCTAATCACCTCTCAGGAAAAGATTGCTCCAGGCACTGCCAGGCCATTATATGCTAATCAAGGTGGTCAGTTGAAACATTCACACCTGGCTCCAGCAGACAAGAGTCCTTTGTCCACCCTGGACATTATTCCACAGATATATAAACCCATTGTCCTATTTCCAACAGACCTCACTCCCTCTGAGGATGCTTGCCACAGATGCAGGCAAAACATCAGGAGAAAATGCCTCTAGAACATGGCCCTATAGCCCGAAAAAACCCCACAAGAACTTAGTTTGTTATCGTTTTCCCCTCTGTATGGAAACTCTATGAGTTAGGCCTGTTTCTGATAGATTTACGGGCGGGTGGGCTTTGTTGAGTTTTTGACCAATAGGAGACAGCCATGCCTTAAGTGATCGGAGCAAAGACCAATCTTTTCTGGGCTGAACCATTACATTAGCGGGCAATGAAATATTAGCTCAAAGAAGACAGAGGACAGAACTCATGTCAGCGTCGACGCCATCCAACTCATTGAGTTTCCTTGTTAGGGAAAAATACTGATATCCTGTCCGTTTCAGTGAGGAAATAGGATATTTTCCCCGTTTGCGCCCCTTCCCTAAAAAATGGACTGCTCCTATGCCAAGTGGGCGGGTTTTGTCATACTTCGGACCAATAGAAGATGGCTATTTTTTAAGTGACAGAAGCAAAACCCAATCGGAGGTGTCCCAGGCTCGCGTGCAAGGTGTGAAGGCGCAGCCGGAGGTGGGCGGGATTTGAGGCGCCGTTCACCAATAGCAGGTCACGCCGACGTTGAGTGATTGGCGGAACGGCCAATCCCAGGCGCCTTAGGCTGCTGGAGAGGCGTGAGGGTGTGGAAGGGCGTCGTGAGGTGAGGCGACGCGCGTGTGCTTCAGAAGCGCTCGGCAGGGCTTTGGCCGCGTCGGAAAGACAGGTAAAGTCACCCCAACTACTCACAACGACAATATTTAGAAGTATAATCCTATTAATAGAATTCCTGACTATTTAAAGAATCTGCCTCGTTTGCCTCAGGCTTCGAGGGCTGACTAGGCCCAAGCCACGCCCCCTCCGCGAGGAAAGGGGCGGGGCTTAAAGGGTTTGCCTCAGGAGAGAAGAAAAGGAGGAAAGAAGGAGGAAGTGGAGAAGAATAGAGGAGGAGAGGGAAAAGAAGGAGCGAAAGAGAGGAAGAAGAGGGGAAGGAAAGAAGAAAGGAGGAAGGAGAGGAAGTAGAGGGGAGAAGAAGAGGGAAGAGAAGGAAAACCAAAGACTACAGGAGGAGGAGGAAGAGGGAAAAGAAGAAGGTAAAGGAAAGAAGAGAGGAGGGGAAAGGAAGAGGGGAAAGAAGGTAAAGGAAAGAATAGAAGAGGAGGAAGAGGAAAAGAAGGGGAAGAAGAGGGAAAAGAGGAGAAGGAAAACGAAAGTCTACAGGAGGAGGAGGAAGAAGGTAAAGGAAAGAAGAGAGGAAGGGGAAAGGAAAAGGGGAAGAAGAGGGGAAAGGAGGGAAGGAAAGAAGAGAAGAGGAAGTAGAGGGGAGAAGAAGGGGAAGAAGAGGGAAAAGAAGAGAAGGAAAACGAAAGACTACAGGAGGAGGAAGAAGAGGCAAAAGAAGAAGGTACAGGAAAGAAGAGAGGAGGGGGAAAGGAAAAAGGGAAAGGAGGAAAAGGAAAGAATAGAAGAGAAGTAAGAGGAAGTAGAGGAGGGGAGAAGAAGGAGAAGAAGAGGGAAAAGAAGAGAAGGAAAACGAAAGACTACAGGAGGAGGAGGAGGAAGGTAAAAGAAAGAAGAGAGGAGGGGGAAAGGAAAAGGGGAAGAAGAGGGGAAAGGAGAGAAAGGAAAGAATAGAAGAGGAGGAAGGAGAGGAAAAGAAGGGGAAGAAGAGAGAAAAGAGGAGAAGGAAAACGAAAGAGTTCAGGAAGAAGAAGAGAGAAAAAAGAAGGAAAAAAAGAAAATAGAAGAGGAGTAAAAGAAAAAGAAGGGGAAGAAGAGGGAAAACGGGAGAAGAAAAAGAGGGGAGGAAGACGAAAGGCTAAGGGAAGAGGAAGAAGAGAGAGAAAGAAGAGGGAAAACAGGAGAAGGAAAACGAAAGACTACAGGAGGAGAAGGAAGAAGAAGGTAAAGGAAAGAAAGGAGGGGGAAAGGAAGAGGGGAAAGGAGGGAAATGAAAGAATAGAAGAGGAGGACGAGGAAGAAAATAAGAGGAGAGGAAAAGAAGGGAAGGGAAGAAGAGGGAAAACAAGAAGGAAAAGAGAAGGAAAACGCAAGGCTACAGGAAGAGAAAAAAAGAAGGTAAAGGAAAGAATAGAAGAGGAATAAGAGGAAAAGAAGGGGAAGAAGAGAGAAAACAGGAGAAGGAAAGCGAAAGACTACAGGAGGAGGAGGAAGAGGCAAAAGAAGAAGGTACAGGAAAGAAGAGAGGAAGGGGAAAGGAAATGGGGAAGAAGAGGGAAAAGAAGGGAAAGGAAAGAATAGGAAGGTGAGGAAGAAGAGCAAGAAAAGAAGGGGAAGAAGAGGGAAAACAAGGAGCCGATGAGAAAGAAAACGAAAGGCTATAGGAAGAGGAAGAAGAAAAGAGAAAAAAGAAGGACAAAAGAAAGATTAGAAGAGTAGTAAGAGGAAAATAAGGGGAAGAAGAGGTAAAAAAGGGGAGAAGGAAAAGAGAGGAAGGAAGACGAAAGGCTATAGGAAGAAGAGAGAGAAAGAAGGTAAAGGAAAGAATACAAGAGGAGGAAAAGGAAAAGAAGGGGAAGAAGAGGGAAAAGAGGAGAAGGAAAACGAAAGACTACAGGAGGAGGAAGAAGAGGGAAAAGAAGGTAAAGGAAAGAAGAAAGGAGGGGAAAGGAAAAGGGGAAGAAGAGGGGAAAGGAAAGAAAAGGAGGACGAGGAAGAAGAGGAAGAAAAGAAGGGGAAGAAGAGGGAAAACAAGGAGCCGATGAGAAAGAAAACGAAAGGTTAGAGGAAGAGGAAGAAGAAGAATAGAGAAAAAAGAAGGAAAAAGGAAAGAATAGAAGAGTAGTAAGAGGAAAAGAAGGAGAAGAAGAGAGAAAACGGGAGAAGGAAAAGAGAGGAAGGAAGATGAAAGGCTATAGGAAGAAGAAGAGAGAGAAAGAAGGTAAAGGAAAGAATAGAAGAGGGGGAAGAGGAAAAGAAGGGGAAGAAGGGAAAAGAGAAGGAAAACAAAAGACTACAGGAGGAGGAAGAAGAGGGAAAAGAAGAAGATAAAGGAAAGAATAGAGGAGGGGGAAAGGAAAAGGGGAAAGGAGGGAAAGGAAAGAATAGAAGAGGAGGAAGAAGAGGAAGAAAATAAGAGGAGAGAAAAAGAAGAGGGAAAACAGGAGAAGGAAAACGAAAGGCTATAGGAAGAGGAAGAATAGAGAAAAAAAGAAGGTAAAGGGAAGAATAGAGGAGGGGAAGAAATAGAGGAAGAAGACGGAAAGGGGGAGAAGGAAAATGAAAAGGAAAGAACAGGTGGAGGAGGAAGAAGAAGGAGAGGAAGGAAAAGGAGAAGAATGGAGAAGTCTTTTAATTGGGTGTCTGGTTTTATTTTTAATTATGTAGTTGTGTTTTTAAATTATTTTATATTGTTTTAATATAGTAATATAATTATCTTAACTCTTATCATTAGGGTGTGTGTGTGTGTGTGTATATATATATATAACAATATATGTATGTGTGTGTGTATATATATAAATCATTGTTTAAATTCCTGATGTGAGCTGCCCTGTGCCTGACACAAAAAGAAAGCCAGGCTGCAAATTAAGTAAATAAACTGACTTAGTTGTATGTGCCTATGAAAACTCCTGTTTTCCTTCTAGCAGTATCATGCATCCCACAAAAACGCCGCTCCCAGGCCGTGCTTCTAGCCATGGTTCTTCTCGTGACCATGCGCCTGGGGAGCCTGTATATTCCAGAGGACGGGCCTTCTTCTCAAGGGTCAGGGTGCAAGGGGAATCGGAGATGGTGCAACCAGTCCCAGGACGTGAGCGGCAGGTAAATGTGAAATTTTTGCAATCATCATTTATGGTACAAATGTTTCATCTAGGACGGCTGTTATTTTGGTAGAGGCTGCTTCATTGGATATTTGATCACCATAATCAAATAGGGAAATACAGGCAATCACCAAGTTACAGTCATCCAACTGTAACGAGGAGCCTCTGGTGGCGCAGTGGGTCAAACCCCTGTGCCGGCAGGACTGAAGACTGACACGTCACAGGTTCGAATCCGGGGAGAGGCAGATGAGCTCCTTCTGTCAGCTCCAGCTCCTCGTTCGGGGACATGAGAGAAGCCTCCCACAGGGATGATAAAAACATCAATTCATCCGGGCGTCCCCTGGGCAATGTCCTTGCAGATGACTAATTCTCTCATACCAGAAGCGACTTGCAGTTTCTCAAGTCACTCCTGAAACGACCAAAAAGTCATCCAACTTACACACGACTCACAATTAAGAACAGGGGTGAGACAATAGGAAGTGAAATAAATCTACCCCTCAGAAGGGAAACCTATTTCTTGAAGAGTTATTATCATAGGGAAAAGGAGTCTCTAATTAAGTTTTATCTCCAATCTTTGTCTCCACAACAAGCCAATTTTCCCAGAATCCAATTCTCACAGAAAGTGAGGCAAAATCTTCTGAATAGGGGCACAGACAGCAAAGGAAACACCACAGAGGTGTTAACCTTTCCATGCGCTATCCAAAACACACACACTCACACACATACATATATATAGAGAGAGACAGAAGTTTCACTTACAGAATACTAGCTGTACCCGGCCACACATTGTTATGGCCCTTTCTGGTGAAATGGAAAGGAAAGAAAGAGCTTGTTTTTAATATATGTGATTTCAAAGGCTTGTGGGTATACAATATTTTTGTGTTCCATTGTCTGGCTTTCCACAGGGTTAAACTGATGCAACGACATCATTTAGAATTGCTGTTCCAGGGGGGTGGGGGGAGGGTGGGGGTGATGGGTGATACATAACTAAGGAATGTATAAAATGTCATTTACAAAATAATTACTTTTGGAATAATGTATACTGAAATAAGTCCTGTATGGCAAAAGTTTGTTAATTGTTGGGATGTATCAAATAAAAAATACTATTATTGAATAATAATAATAATAATCCACTACATGGCTACCAGCCTCCTCCCAGTAGACTCAAATCAAGGAAAAGCTTTATGAGAACTACCACTCCTCTTGGCGTCCCTCCAGCAACAGCAAGGGTCTCCCTCTGGGCAGCTGAACCAGGACATCCCAGCTGGATGGCCCCCCACGAGGGTCTTCCTCCCGGGGCAAAGCAAGAATGGGCAACCTGGAAGTCCCTGAATAGACTCAGAAGCGGAGTGGGCAGATCAAAAGACGACCTGGCAAAATGGCACTACCTAAAAGAATCCCATACCTTGTGTGACTGTGGAGCAGAAGAGACAACTCTGCATCTGGATGCTTGTCCATTGTGCCCTGCCTCATGTACAGAGGAGGAATTGTTGGAGACTACAGACAATGCCATTGCTGTTGCCCGTTTTTGGTCAAAAGATATTTAGTTGCCTGCACACCTTCTATTTTTATCAGTTTTATACTAATTTATGCAATGCTTTTGATATGAAATAATCATAATCATAGGAACATGAAACACGAGAAGCATGAATCAGGGAAAGCCAGGCAAAGTGAAACGAAAAAGGGAAAGTATAAGCATTGCAATACCAGAGAAAACTGAGTAAAGTGGACAGGAATTGGTACATTTTGAGTCAAACAATTACACAATGTTTTACCCAAGAAATGTAAGAAGAAATTAATTATTTTTTAAAATGTTAGTAATTGTTAGTACTACTGTGAATAATAACTAAGCAATTTTTAACATTTTTGCCTGATCCAGAAGCCAGTGAAGCTTTGAAAGTTTGCTTGATTTATTCTGTGTATTTTAGTTGTCCAAATAAAGCTATCACTATATTGTCGAAGGCTTTCATGGCCAGAATCAATGGGTTGTATTAGGTTTTTTTGGGCTATATGGCCATGTTCTAGAGGCATTCTCTCCTGACATTTGCCTGCATCTTTGGCAAGCATCCTCAGAGGTTGTGAGGTCATTACCTCACAACCTCTGAGGATGCCTGGCCCAAAAAAAGCTACTACAACCCAAAGCTATCACTGTTTTGTGGATTTTTTTAAAAAAAATAATTTTCCAGCCAAAATATTATAGGGGATCTTAACAGACTTTTTGCCAAAATAAAGATAAATGTCTTTCACAACATTCCCTGCATCTACTAAACTAGTGATCTAATAAAACAAAAAGATATCTTTAAAAATTGTGTTTCCATTGTCTGTGCAGATATAGCGATTGGTTTGCCAACTAGAACACACAACATATAATTGTCCATGTGAGAAGCAATCCATGTCTAGATGTTAACTGCACAATTCTAAAGATTGGCCCTGAGTGTAAATTATGTAGTATAGCATGCGTTGCTTTGATGTCCATTCACAGACGGACATTTACATTTTTATTTATATAAATTCCTGTTGCAAATTACAAACAAATTCAACTTAGGAACAAATTACAGAAATGCTTTTTTTTCTACAAACAAAAGCTAATGAAAATAACAGAAGATTGTTGAAGTTGCTCCCATGCTTCCTTTTTATTTGACCTAGCTACTCTTTTCTCATTTACATCTTATAGAAGTATCTGGATAAATTGTCCTTCACTTCATTTTTTCTGGTTCTTTTTTTCAGACCAGATTTGTAGTTTTTTATGCTTATCAAATGTGTTTGCAGCATTTTTCTGATTTTTTTTAATGCCTAAATGTCACATAAAAAGAAGGAAATTGAGAACATGGATAATTGAACTTTAGCTTTTAGAATACTTGGTATTTCTAGTGGGATGTTTGAATTCATTGGTTATATTTTCTGCACAAATTAAGATTACTTATTCTAAATACATACTGAAGCCATTGGACGAACACTGGCAGAACACTGTTGCGTGAAAATTAGAAGTTACTTATGGAAGAAAACCTTTTTTTTGGCAGAGAATATATTTTATGCTGCTATTTACTCTAGATGGAAAAGTACTTGTCAAAGTTTGAGGGATGGAAAACATTGCCTTTAAATTTTCTTCATTTGCAAAATCCCAGTAGAGTTTTCTAGAGTGTATTTCTCTTGTTTGAAATTGTACCTAAACTGGTTTTTAGCTTAACTAAGGCTCTGTGGCTTACTGGGCAATAGTTTGCTCTCTATTTTACTTCAGGAGTCTTCTGTGGCTGCTACAACTCTATCCTCCATGTTCCAGGAACTTGGTTTTGAGATTCCTCCTACACCTGTTTTTGGTAAGTTAGTCCTGTGGCATTTAAACTTCTTTCTTATGTTTCTGTAATATTTCTCTTTGAATCTATATGAAGCACATTCTCTGCTTTAAAAAAAAAACCCTCTTTGTTTAGGTCGAGGATTTTTAGGCCGAGGCATAGCAAGTGTGGACACCAAAGTGGTTGCAAAAGCACAGGATGCACAGACACAGTTGAGAGCTGGTCCAGCTGGAGACAGCAAAGTGGAGGTGGCAGTTTGGGGCCGTGGCATGTGAGTAACGTGATTTTGTGGTGAACCAGTGATGATTTGATGATAGTGAAAGGCATGTGGTCATGATGACACATGACTAATTACATCTCTAACATGCCCCTTGTGAGGCTGCCTTTGAGACGTGAACTCTCTCCCTAAGGACATCAGGCAAGCCCCATCGCTGGCAATTTTTAGGAGGAGCTTGAAAACGTGGTTGTTCCAGTGTGCCTTCCCAGAATAAGGAAACTCCAAGCATTATGTCCCCAAACGCACTTTATCAGAGATCCAGGATATCTGTATGCCCATCCCCCTCCAAACACCTACCCTTTCACCTAGTCATGTCCAGCACTTTTTAATTTTAATTATTACATTTGGCCCCGCCATAGATTTTAATTGCGTCATTGAGTGTTGTTAATGTTATTGCCTTGTTTTTTGAGTTATTTAATCAAATGCACAAAAGTAAAATCCACAAATGTGGGAGGCGGGCTGTACTACTTCTACTACTACTAATATTTCGGTTTGTGTTAATTTTTAGAAATAAACATGATTGGGATATGGGCTTCTCATCTAAGAACACAAAAGGCTATTGTCTTTCAATTATGCACAAATAAGACATGAATGATTATATGTTTCACTGCTTGATCCAAGTTTGTTGACCATCTACAACAGGGGTTCTCAAACTTTTTAAACAGAGGGCCAGGTCAAAGTCCTTCAAACTGTTGGAGGGCTGGATTATAATTTGAAAAAAAAAATGAATGAATTCCTATGCACGTTGCACATATCTCATTTATTTATTTATTTATCGTGTCAGTAGTAACCAGGCAATTGCATTACATTTTTAACAATTTTTTTAACAAACAGACATAACAGAGTTTATAAGCTTGGTAGTTGATTAAATGTCCTTTGACCAGTATCTGGCCCTTTGGCGTGCCTCTGGTGTTGCCGCAAGGAGGTCCTAGATTGTGCATGTGGCAGTGCTCAGGCTGCATTGCAGCAAGTGGTCAGTGGTTTGTTCTTCTCCACACTCGCATGTCGTGGATTCCACTTTGTGGCCCCATTTCTCAAGGTTGGCTCTGCATCTCGTGGTGGCAAAGAGCAGTCTGTTCAGCGCCTTCCAAGTCGCCCAGTCTTCTGTGTGCCCAGGGGGGAGTCTCTCATTTGGTATCAGCCATTGATTGAGGTTCTGGGTTTGAGCCTGCCACTTTTGGACTCTTGCTTGCTGAGGTGTTCCAGCGAGTGTCTCTATAGATCTTAGAAAACTATGTCTTGATTTAAGTCGTTGACGTGCTGGCTGATACCCAAACAGGGGATGAGCTGGAGATGTCTCTGCCTTGGTCCTTTCTCTATTGGCTGCTACTTCCCAGCGGATGTCAGGTGGTGCAATATTTGTAGTGCAAAAAACACTTAACACAATACAAGAATTAAAATGAAGAACAATTTTAATACATTTTAATATAAATGTATTAGTATTTCAATGGGAAGTGTGGGCCTGCTTTTGGCTAATAAGATAGGATTATTGTTGTTGTTGTGAGCTTTCAAGTCGTTTCAGACATAGGCTGACCCTGATCAAGGGCCGGGTAAATGACTTTGGAGGGTGTATCCGGCCCCCGAGTCTTAGTTTGAGGACCCCTGATCTACAAGGAACATTCAGAGCCTGTGCATTTGCTGAAAGCATTCTGAGCATGCTCCGTAGCCCAATAAGTAGAAAAATGGAAAGAGAGCCAGCTATCAGCTAGCCCTTTTCTGCCTGTTCCATCTATAATGTTGTCCTCATAATGCACTCCCCCCCCCCCCGTCCTTAATGAAGGCTTAACCCCACTGTTTGTCCCTTATGAGCTCCTCCCTCACAAATACACTTTTCCACTACTATTCCATCCATCCAGAGTTTTAGCATTCTTATCTTGAGCATTTGGCCCGCCCATTGTGTTCTATTTCTTTATATTATTTTGCAACTGTTTATTTTATTTTGTTACTTTATGTATCTTATTGTGATGTAATTTTTCATTGCTTTGTATTTTATTTTGTTGTGTTTTATTTTGTTGTGTTTCTCTTTGAATCTATATGAAGCACATTCTCTGCCTTGTGTTGTATTTTTGGGCTTGGCCTCATGTTAGCCACCCCGAGTCCCCTTTGGGGAGATGGTGGTGGGGTATAAATACAGATTATTATTATTATTATTGTTATTGTTGTTGTTGTTGTTGCATAGAAAAAGGGTGCAGTCATGAATTACTCAGACTCTTAAGCTTTGCTGTGTAGACATTGTTATGGAAAATAGATTTTTTTTCCTGATTGGTTCACTTGACATCTTAAATCATATTCAGAATTCCTTGTGATGGAGGAGGTGACATGGCGTCAGTGGGATATAGGAAGGCATCTGTGGGACCTGGCAGAACCTGTGTGATTCCTCCTGCTCCTAGCACAGGAGTTCTGCAGCCAGCAGTATTGGAACAGCCCAGTCCAGAGGCTCCTACAGCCGTTTTCGATGAACACACAGAGAAAAGGTAAATGAGACCTGATGGTATTTAAGGACAAATGACTCATTTCATTTTGTATTTCAAATAATAATAATAATAATAATAATAATAATACATCACACAGTCCTATACGCTTGGGAAGTATTCAACTTGTGTTTTTGTGATACTAAATCCAGCATATATATCTTGTTTGCTGTGACATACTGTGTTTTTGTGTCAGTAAAAGAATAATAATACTTTATTTATACCCCGCCCCATCTCCCAAAAAGAGACTCGGAGCGGCTGACAGTCATAAAATAAAACATAATTGATGATATAAACCAGGTAGATAACATATCAAAACAAAACAAAAAATAACACAGAACAACCGAAACATCAGTAAACAATTATATACAAAAATCAGGACATTTATAGTGAAAACGTCTTATGCATTTTGTATATTCAAGTGTTTTAGAAGCTGTGCCCTCCACACAAGAAAGAAAACTGGTAGAAACTATGGTTGTTTAGCATATGAGCCATTTGTAGGTTGCTCAGAGAAGTCTTTCAGGCACATTTCTGTTTGGAAGGCATTCAGAAGGTAGCGCCAGTGAGTTGTTTATTGATGTTTACTGATGGTTATTGATGTTAATTGCTTATTGTATTATTGTGTTAATTGTCTTTTAAATGGCTGTACGATGTTTGCATTGAATTTTTTGCCGCTACTTGTTGTTAACCTCTCTGAGTCGCCTAATTGGCTGAGAAGAGCGGTATACAAATAAAGTAAATAAAGTAAGTAAATAAATAATAAGCTGTTGTTCAGAAGATGACACTTAGGTCTAAATAAATATTGATTGGACTGGGCTGCATGATTGATTTGCCATACTGTGTCTTTCTCTTGAATAAAGGTCTTGGTAAACTCTTTCATGAATGTTGTCATCCATTTCAGAGAACCGTTAATGAAACAAGGCACAAAAGGAATAACGGCTCCATTGGCACTGAACGTAGTTAAAATCCACTGTCAGAATGATGCTGTGTATCAATATCACGTGACATTCAGGTAATAGTGCTTGAATTTTACATTCTTTGTGGCTTTTGATGGTTACGTTTTAAAAACAATAGTTTTGATCTGTAGCAATGGGTTTAATAGCTGGAGTTAGGCATAAACAATCAATGTCTCCTTTAAAAATCATACTAAGTTATTGATCTAATGAGGTGATCAATCTCAGTTATTTCTTCTGTATATTCCCATAAATATCAGTGGTTTATTCAGTGTTAAGGTTATCAGCCAAGGCCATTGTTTGTTAACTTGCAGTGGGATAGTAGTCCCTGTAACCTGTATATATTTATTTTACTACAAGCAGGTAATAAATAGATGTATTGTCGAAGGCTTTCATGGCTGGAATCACTCAGTTCTTGTGGGTTTTTTTGGGCTATATGGCCATGTTCTAGAAGCATTTCTCCTGACGTTTCGCCTGCATCTATGGCAAGCTCCTCAGAGGTGAGGTCTGCTGGAGCTGGGAAAAAAGGGGTTTATATATCTGTGGAATGACCAGGGTGAGACAAAAGGCTTTTGTAAGTTGGGCTGGGTGTGGATCTTTCAACTCACCATCTTGATTAGCATACAATGGGCTGACTGTGCCTGGAGCAAACTCTTCTTGAAAGGTGATTAGATGTCCCTGCCTGTTTTGTCTCACCCTGGTCATTCCACAGATATATAAACCCCCTTTTTTCCCAGCTCCAGCAGACCTCACCTCTGAGGATGCTTGCCATAGATGCAGGCGAAACGTCAGGAGAAATGCTTCTAGAACATGGCCATATAGCCCGAAAAAACCCACAAGAACTGAATAAATAGATGGTTGATGTGTTGTCAAAGGCTTTCATGGCCAGAATCACTGTGTTGCTGTGAGTTTTTCGGGCCACATGACAATGTTCCAGAAACCATGCTCCTGACTTTTCGCCCACATCTATGGCAGGCATCCTTAGAGGTTGAGGGTTCTGTTGGAAACTAGGCAAGTGGGGTTGATATATCTGTGGAATGATGTCCAGGGTGGGAGAAAGAACTCTTGTCTGTTGGAGGCAAGTGTGAATGTTTCAATTGGCCACCTTGATTAGCATTGATTGATTGATTGATTATCTAAGATCATCCGGGGAGGCCCTGCTCTTGCTCCCGTCAACAGCACAGATGCGTCTGGCGGGGACGAGAGACAGGGCCTTCTCGGCTGTAGCTCCCCGCCGATGGAACACACTCCCAAATGAGCTAAGATCTGCTCCCTCCCTCCTGGCTTTTAGAAAAAAAAATCATGGTTTTGGGACCAGGCCTTTGGGCAGTAGAAGTAAATGTATGCAGCATTTCAGAAAGACAATGACTGGAATGGTGATTAGACGGGTGAGACTGTTTTATTGTTTTAGTGATTGTTTTATTGCTTGTGGAAGCACTGTTTTTAAGTTGATTTATGTCTAATTGTAGTGTATAATTGGAATTGTTTGTACTGCCATTGAATTTTGCCATTACTTATGTGTAAAACGCTTTGGGAAAATCGGTGTACAAATACTGTAAACAAACAAATAAATAAATAAATCTGATGGCCTGACAGTTTTTAGGTGTGGCTTATTAGTGCCTGGGGGAATCCTTTGTTGAGAGGTGATTAGCTGTCCCTGATTGTTTCTTGTCTGGAGTTCCCCTGTGTTTGAGGGGTCTGTTGGAAACAAGGCTACCTCCAGCAGATAAGAGTTCTTTCTCCTACCCTGGAAATTCCACAGATATATAAACCCCACTTGCTTAGTTTCCAACAGATCCCTGGACCTCTGACAATGCCTGCCATAAATGTGGGTGAAACATCAGGAGGGAATGCTTCTGGAACGTGTCCAGACAGCCCGGAAAACACACAGAAACTGAAATTGATGGTTATTAATATGAGCAGTAGTAGGTTTCTAAAAACACTTGATATCATCAAATACTTGATATCATATATCCTGTAATTCTTCAAAGTAGATTTATCATTTTGTAACTTGTACTTATCTGTAGAATCCTTGTAAGGTGAATGGAAATGAAAATACATTTTCTAAGAAAAAGCATTTTTTGCTGGTAGTTTATGGCTCATAATTTATTTTTGTGATTCTATGTATATATATATATTTATTCAGGCCTGAGGTGGAATGCAAGACTATGCGGCTTGGAATGTTGAAGGAACATAAGTCTGTGACAGGAGACGTTACTGCATTTGATGGTTATATTCTCTATTTACCTCTCAGATTGCCTCCAGTAAGCCTTATAAAACTGCTCAAGTTTTCTAAAATCTTTCTAATTGTATATTTTATGCCACTCTCACCTGTCTAAGTTTACATATATAGGTTTTTCTGTGTTAGAGTTACAGTACACAAGAAAACTTCCTCATGTAATATCTTTGCAGTGCAGAAATGAAAAAAGATTTACCGTATATACTCGAGTATAAGCCTACCCGAATATAAGTCGAGACACCTAATTTTATCACAAAAAACTGGGAAAGCGTATTGACTCGAGTATAAGCCAAAGGTGGGAAATGTATCCACTATGGGTCAATTTCAAAATAAAAAGAGATACCAATAAAATTACATTAATTGAGGCTAAATGTTTCTGAATATTTACATAAAACTGTAATTTAAGGTAAGACTGCCCAACTCTTATTAAACCATTATTCTAACCTCCTTCAATGTAAATGTACTTATTATTAAAATAATAAATATAATAAAAATAATAGAATAAAATAATGAAAATGCAATAAAAACAGTAATAATAGAGTAAAACAATAAATGTAGTAAGAATAGGGTAAAATATTGTAAATTTAATAATAATAATAATAATAATAATAATAATAATAATAAATACATTAAAACAATAAATGTAATAATAATAATAGGGTAAAATACTGTAAACATAATAATAATAATAGAGCAAAATAATAAATAGAATAATAATAGTTCAAAATAATGTAAATATAATAATAATAGAGTAAAATACTAAATGTAATAAAATAATACTAATAACAGAGTAAAAAGAATAAATAACCTTGATTCGAGTATAAGCTGAGGGGAACTTTTTCAACCTAAAAAAGGGGCTGAAAAACTAGGCTTATACTCGAGTATATACAGTAAGTGTTGCTTATTCTGGAGTATCATGGTGCTTATAACCAGTGTGTTAGACTTTTTAAATGTCGAAAAGAGTGTTAACATGTAGATCCAAAAGTTTTAGGATGAAAACATACGGAGAAAAAATAGAACTTCCGTGTCTTCCAGTCGTTCATGAGTTTAGTAGCAAATATCAAGGTTTTTGTTTATTTTTGTATAACACTTTAATTAAAAAACATGATATGAAACAGATACACTGTAACAGTTCTAATAGTGGACTATATAATTTGATTTCCAAACAACTAAATAGTTATTATTAATATCTAATACATAGATATTATTAATGTAAGCCATCCTGGTTCAGATACTTATTGAATATATCCCTGAATGTAGAAAAAGTTGTCAAATTTGATTGGGGACCACACATTTGATCGTTTGCCCGCCACTCGCACTGCAAATGGATCCCCCGCATTTGGGACACAGAAATGCTCCTTTGTAAAGCTGCCAGGCCAGAGCCGCTAGTCAGGCTCCCTGTGCTATGCAGCAATTTATTTTAATCCCTATTGTTGGTATTGAACAGGGAAGCCAGTGGAAGATCTTTTGCTCATTCTTCAGCAAACCATGGGAATATAGTGATAGTGTAGACTCTCCGTTAACTGGAACTCTCAAGCAACCGGTAAAAAAATAGAAACATTGATATTTAATTTAAAAGTTGGGTTTTTTAAAATATTAACTCAATTAGAAACTACATTTATCAGGCATCTACCAATCCCCATGGGTTCCAGTAAACTTGAGAGCCCACTGTAGTTGGGTTAAGGCTGAGGAAGCAATATTTGCATGCTATGGAGAACTGTCAAAATGTTTCGTTAGAACTTCAAATGATATGTATACACAGCATGTTTATGCCTGCGTCTCTTTGTATACAATCTCCAAGCTGATGTAAGCCAACACATGTTGATTATGCCTTCTCTGGAATTCTTGGGGCCAAAAGTGTTTTGGATTTTAATAGCTGATTTTAATGTAATGTATTAATGCCTCCCCTGGTGGCGCAATGGGTTTATTTATTTATTTATTTATTTATTTATTTGGGGTTCTTGTACCCCGCCCTTCTCACCCCGAAGGGGACCCAGGGCGGCTTACAGCTGCAAGGCGCCCTTAGACACCTGCCATACAAAACAGTCATCAATACAATAATACAAAAACCACAGTTCAGCATTACCCAATAAGATCAATAAAAAATATAAAACAGTTAAACAACCATAAAACACAATAAAAACACATTACAAACCTAGATCTTCCTCCTACCCATTAGTTTACATTAACTCAATGGTCTGTTTTGGTTCCTTTTCGGCAATCCTGCTGATCTTCCATATCAGAGTCTTATGTGGTTGTCTTATCTAATTGCCTGGTTGCCCAAAGGCCTGGTTCCACAACCATGTCTTCGCCCTCCTCCTAAAGGAGAGGAGGGTTGGTGCTGTTCTGATATCCCCTGGGAGTGAATTCCACAGGTGGGGGGCCACCACTGAGAAGGCCCTGCTCCTCGACCCCACCAGCCTCACTTGTGAGAGTGGTGGGGTCGAGAGCAGAGCCTCCCCAGATGATCTCAAACTCCGAGGTGGGACGTAAAGGGAGATACGTTCGGACAGATACACTGGACCAGAACCGTATAGGGTTTTGTAGGTTAAAACCAGCACCTTGAATTGTGCTCGGAATTGAATCGGCAGCCAGTGGAGCTGGCACAACAGGGGGGTGGTATGCTCCCTGTATGTCGCTCCGGTGAGCAATCTGGCTGCCGCACGCTGGACTAGTTGGAGTTTCCGAACAGTCTTCAAGGGCAACCCCACGTAGAGCGCGTTGCAGTAGTCTATTCGGGATGTAACAAGAGCATGGACCACCGTGGCCAGATCAGACTTCCCAAGGTACGGGCGCAACTGGTGCACAAGTTTTAATTGTGCAAAAGCTCTCCCGGCCACCGCCGAGACCTGGGGTTCCAGGCTCAGCGGTGAGTCTAGGATCACTCCCAAGCTGCGAACCTGTGCTGGTAGTTCGAATCCGGGAGAGCAGGTTGAGCTCCCTCTGTCAGCTCCAGCTCCCCATGCGGGGACATGAGAGAAGCCTGCCACAAGGATGGTAAAACATCAAACATCCAGGTGTCCCCTGAGCAACATCCTTGCAGACGGCCTATTCTCTCACACCAGAAGCAACGTGCAGTTTCTCAAGTTGCTCCTGACACAAAAAAATGTATTAATGCCATGATTTTTTTTTAGCTTTTAATGATTTTAATATTTGTGTTTATTGTATCTGTTTGTTGTTTGTATGACACTGAATATTGCCAAATTGGAAGTTGCTCTGAGTCCCTTTCGGGGTGAGAGAAGTGGGGTAAACATATAATAAATAAATCAATTTCTCCTGCATTAAAGAGTACTGATGGTGTTCTCTGCAGGGTTTCTGCAACCATTAGCAATGAATTATATTTAAGAAGACAAGCTAATCAATGTTAAAGAATAAACAGTATGTATTGTCAAATCAAAGTGCTCCAGGGCTAAATTTTGGCTTGTATTTGTTTTGCTGCAATATGGAAGCACATCCTTAAAGAAAGAACAAAAATAAATGTAAGGTTCAGGTTGGGACGTACAATTCATTTTCTCTTGGTTTAGAATGAAGGCCTGAAGTGTCAAAGGAGAACTGATGGGTCAGAAGTAACGATAAATATTCAAATGACCAAAATCCTGGAGCCGAGCTCAGACTTGTGCATCCCATTCTACAATGTTGTTTTCAGAAGGTAAGTGGCAGACAGTGTTTGAATCTGTTGAAAATAATTTAGTTTGTGATTTATAGCTCTTAAGATCACACATTAAAACTGAATTCATGTCAAATAGATTGAATTGAACTCTGCTTTTCTGTGTAAAAACAAAAGGGGCAGAAATGTGACTGTTAATGTTGAATATCATAAATGAGCTACAGTGGGTATCATTATTTTCATGATATTATTTGGACTTTTAGGAGGATAGAATCATAGAGTTGACAGAGATTGTATGTTTTTACCCTGTTTCCCCTTCCTTTCCGCTCCCTCACCCAAATTGTGCTTCAGTAGTTATATTTATATTTTTAATGTACCAAACATACCAAGTTTGTATGAAAATGTGACTCTATTTCCTGTGCTGGTCAATGACCGAAATAAATGATTTGACAGAGACCACATGGGCCATTTAGTCCAACTCACTGCTGTATTTAAGCTGTATTTCTGGCATTGCAGAGAGATTGGCTGGTGGCATTGCAGATGGTAATACTAACATTATACTTCTGATTAGTATCTGCCATCAGTATCTGTGCCTTGTTCACCCCACCAACTCAATAGACGTCTTGAGCCGTGATCGATCTATTTGCGAAATTGATGCTGATGCTTGATGTTTTGTCTTATGTCTGATATAACAGGCTGCATTTTTATTTAATTTTAGCTGTTAAGGCATAATTTGTTTGTATATGTTGAGTTGTCAATTTTCGTTATGATGGGTGTATTGTTGTTGTGTTTGGGCATTGAGTGTTTGCCTTTTATTTATTTATTTATTTATTTATTTATTACTGCGCTTGTATACCGCCGTTTCTCAGCCTACATTGGCGACTCAACGCGGTTTACAACATTACAATAATCAACAATATTCAAGATAAAAAGCATAAAAAAAGCATAAAAACACATACAAAATATACAATATTGGGCCACCAATATCGAACCAATGCATCTCTTAGTTAAAAACGCAGTCCAATTTCATCGTCTGTGATTACCAGTCCTTGATCGTCAGATTCGTTGCACCGTGTTAACCGAATGCTTGTTCGAACATCCATGTCTTCAGTCTTTTTCGAAACGCCACCAGCGAGGGGGCTGATCTTACCTCTATGGGGAGGGCGTTCCAAAGCCGAGGGGCTACCACAGAAAAGGCCTGTCTCTCGTCCCCGCCAGCCGCACCTGTGAAGCAGGCGGGATAGAGAGCAGGGCCTCCCCAGAAGATCTTAGGGTCCTGGTGGGCTGATAGGCCGAGATACGTTCGGATAGATAAGTTGGGCCAGAACCGTTTAGGGCTTTAAAGGCCAGCGCCAGCACTTTGAATTGGGCCCGGTAGCAAATCGGCAGCCAGTGGAGCTGGTACAGCAGAGGAGTTGTATGCTCCCTGCGCCCCGCTCCGGTTAGTAACAGGATAGATAAGTTGGGCCAGAACCGTTTAGGGCTTTATGTTATGTTTGGAATTCATCTTGAGTCCATCTGGAGACATAGGGAGTAATATAAAGAAAGTTTTATTGCATTACTATTATGGTGCCTGCTGGAAGAGCACTTTGGTTTTCTCAATGTTCAGTGAGCAGCCAAACTTCTCGTATACAGATATGCGGTAAATTAAGTTCTCAATCCTCTGTCCAGACAAACAATCTCTACCAATACAACCATCAGGGCTGCTCATCAAGTGATAGGTTTTATTAAAGACTAGCTGTACCTGCCACACATTGCTGTGGCCAACCATCCCTCCCTCTTTTTCTCCTTTCCTTCTCTCCTTCCTTCCTTTCTTCCTTCCTTTCCTCTTCTTCTTTCCCTTCTTTCTTCCTTCTCTACCTGTTTCTTTCTTCCCTTCCTTTGCTCTTTGGTTCTCTCCTCCCTCCCTCCCTCTTCTTTCCTTCCTTTCTTCCTTCTCTACCTTTTTCTTTCCTCCCTTCCTTTGCTCTTTGGTTCCATCTTTCCTTCTCTCTTTCCTTCCTTCCTTCCCACCCTCTTTCTCTCTTTCGTTCCTTTTCTTCTTCCTTCCTTCTCTTTTTCCTTACCTCGTTCACTTTTTTATTTCCTTCTCTCCTTCCTTCCTTTTCTACCTTTCTTTCTTTCCTTCATTCTCTTCTTCCCTCCTTCTTTCCCTCTTTCTCTCCTTCCTTCTTTCCCCCTTTCTGTGTATATGTGTTTTGTGTGTGTATATATCCATTTATGTGTGTATATATTTGTATATATATGTGTGTTTGTATATATATGTGGTTTTGTGCATGAGCTATAATGTATTTTTTGTTTTGTTTTTTGGCTTTTAAAGTCCCTTCTGCTGTGTTTTTCAGTGTTTTTATGAGTGATGGTCACTTGTTGTCCTGAGAGGTGTCTTGTGTCCACACTTGGTGTTAATTTGTCCAGTGGTTTTGAGTTGTGTTAATCCCACAAACGAGCATTACATTTTTATTTATATTGGTAGATGCAGTTTTACAAGTATGTTTGAATTAGAAGCCGGTTTGGGGACACCTTTTCTGGTTACATAGAGAAGCATAATTTGTGGTTCAAAGTATTGCTGCTTAGAAAGTATAATGAAGATTTCTTTCTGTGGGAATTATATTTACATACATGGCATCTACTGTCAAGAATTGTTCATGCATAACACAGATTTTAAAGCAAACTGCATTTCCTATTGATTTAGTTTCTAATTACTTTGACTTTTGGTTGTAGAGTTATGAGAATTTTAGATATGAAGCTGATTGGGAGGAATTTCTTTGACCCGACAAGCACCTCTGTATTACAGCAGTATAGGTTGGTATTTCCCTTTGTTCCTTTCATATTTTAACCAAACATTTCAATTTGCGTTTCACTGCCCACCACAGTCTCTGGATTGTCCTCTGCTGATGGACATGTTCTTGTATATTTCAGTAAAATCCAGAGAAAAAATATTTGTTGTTTTGCAGTGCTTTATCAGTTAGCCGATACGCATCGGTAATATGGAAAAGATACAGTATAATTAAAGCAGAGGAAAACCGAATGCCATAATTAAAACTTGGGCCATTGTATAATGACGTGTTCTTAGTAAAGCTGTTCTGCTTTTGAAGTGGGACAAGTTACCGTATATACTCGAGTATAAGCTAAGTTTTTCAGTCTTTTTAGGGGGGGCTGAAAAGGCCCCCCTCGGCTTATACTCAAGTCAGTTATTTATTATTTTACTCTATTATTATTATTATTATTATTACTACATTTATTAATTTACTCTATTTATTATTACATTTATTATTTTACTCTATATTTATTATTTTACTATATTAATATTACATTTATTATTTTACTCTTTTATTACATTTATTATTTTATTTATTTTTGTTATTATGTTTATTATTTTACTCTATTGTTATTATTACATTTATTATTTTACTCTGTTGTTATTGTTACATGTATTATTTTACTCTATTGTTATTATTACATTTGTTTCTTTATTATTACTGTTATTACATTTCCATTATTTTTCTCTATTATTGTTATTTCTATTACATTTATTATTTTGCTCTCTTTATTATTGGAAGGATACGTAAGCACATTTTCATTGAAGAAGATTAGAATAATGGTTTAATCAGTTGAACAGTTATCTTAAATTACAATTTTATGTAAATATTCAAAAACATTTCACCTACCGATGCATCAATTAATGTAATTTTATTGGTATTTGTTTTTATTTTGAAATTTACCAGTAGCTGCTGCATTTCCCTAAGGTTAGACTCAAATCAATACGTTTCCCCAGTTTTTTCTGGTAAAATTAGGTGCCTCGGCTTATATTCAGGTCGGCTTATACTTGAGTATATATAGTATTTGTAATAGCAGGAAAATTATTAGTTATTCATCCATTTCAAATGAATGCAATCAATAGGTGAACGCTGGCTTCTCTAAACACTGTAAATGGCATTTCCCCCTTCTGTATGTCGGCTGCATTCTGTAATCATACAAGAGTTGGTAGCATCATCTTCAAAGAACCTGAAAAATGCATTTGCTGCTTGTATGACATATTATTTTCTTCCACAAAGGTTGCAAATATGGCCTGGCTATGCAGCTAGTATCCGGAGGACAGACGGGGGACTGTTTCTTTTGGCAGATGTTGTTCACAAGGTGGTTAGGAATGATTCCGTTCTGGATTTCATGTGAGTAAGAAAAGTAATTAAGATATTATGGAAAAGAAGCAACTGAGAACTGGTCTTTTTACAGTAACACAAAACCAGTTCCATTGACTTTCCATTCTTGTTCTCTTTAGATTTCTCTTCACAGAACCAGGTTTCTCAAGAGGTTGCTATATAGGCTGTTAGGATTTCTGGGAGTGGAAGGCCAAAACATCTGGGGACCCACAGGTTGAGAACCACTGTGCTAAAGGAAGACATTTACTAATTTGGATCGATGTGGTGGAGAGACTGCTGAATGACCCTTGGGAAAAGGGCATTTCCTTTGTGAAGCTGATGACATAGAGTTACCATTATTTATTTATTTAGAACTTTTATAACCCGGTCTTCTCAACCTCCGAGGAGGGACTCAGGCCGGCTAACAACAGAAAATTCATACACCAAATAAACTAATAACATAACAACACCATAATACATTAAAATACACATCAAATAAATACATAAAACAAATCGTCAAGATAAAATCACAATTCATCACCATCCACTGGTGTGGTCAGCAGTTATTGACTCGCTCATCATTCTGAGAATGCTATGTCCCAGGGCCAGGATTTTACTAGCTTTCTAAAAGTCAGGAGGGAAGGGGCAGATCTGATCTCCATCGGGAGAGAGTTCCACAGCCGAGGGGCCACCACCGAGAAGGCCCTATCCCTCGTCACCACCAGACGTGATTGCGAAGGCGGTGGGACCGAGAGCAGGGTTCCTCCAGAAGATCTTAACAATCTTGATGGTTCGTAGGGGAGAATCCGTTTGGACAGGTAAACTGGGCCATAATATTACTTATTTACTTAGGCGATCCCTTGTAGTCCAAGGATGATGGTCCTCCAAGGTCGGTGTTCTGGCAGTGGGTCCGTAGGTGACTGTGGAGCCCAATTCTTGATCTGCATCTTCTCCCACAGTGAGGGCATCAGTTTCCAGGTGGAAGGCGGTCCCGGTTGGGGTTGGCTTGACACGCCTTCCTCTTTCGCCCTCCATTCATGCCTCTTGAAACTCCACAGCACTGCTAGTCACATCTGACCTCCAGCTGGAGCGCTCAAGGGACAGGGCTTCCCAGTTCTCAGTGTCTATGTCAGAGATTTTAAGGTTGGCTTTGAGCCTATCTTTCAATCTCTTTTTCTGCCCTCCATCATTCTGTTTTCCTTTCTTGAGTTCGGAGTAGAGCAACTGCTTTACCATAATACCATAATATGCATATATGTATATGTATATACTCTACCATAATATACATAGGTGCACACAGCATGTCTACCCTTAAAGCTAGTTGCAAATGAAGCTGAGAAACAGTAGTGTGCATAAAGCTATCTGGTGAGAGGTTGAATGTATCATAGAAGTGCTTCTAATTCTCTACCCACAAAAGGTAAGTTCGTAATGTATGAGATCAAAATGTTTTTGTTTTCCAAAGGCATTCAGTTTACCAGCAGAGTCAAGGCAAGTTCCAAGATGAGTGTACAAAGCAGCTGATTGGCGACATTGTATTAACCCGCTACAACAACAAGACTTACCGTATTGACGATATTGACTGGAACAAGACACCAAAGGACAGCTTTACCATGTCGGATGGAAAAGAGACCACTTTCATAGACTATTACAGGTGAGATGCAGCACTTAAACACTTGTTGAAGTATTCTGGGAGTGGAGGAAAGCTGGCACTTTGTGAGAGAAGACTTAGGGCACTCATCTTGTTTCGGCACTTTCCCCCTGTCATCCTAGAAATTGACAGCTTGGTTTGCCACTAAAATGCAGAGAAGTTAGGGTAAAAATAATTTTGTTTGTGAACAACAACATTAATCTTCTCAAATACTAATTCACTTAATAGTTTTGAATATCCTTAGTATTATTATTTTTTATTTATTTACAACATTTATATGCTGCCCTTCTCACCGCGAAGGGGACTCAGAGCGGCTTACAAGATACATATACATACAATACCTTGCGCTATGCTACTCTGCTGCTGAGTACGCATGCCCAGTGTGGAACACATCTCACCACACTAAAACAGTGGATGTGGCTCTTTATTTATTTATTTATTTTGTCGTGTCAGGAGCAACCGCTCCTGTTGTCTTAATGAGACATGCGCATCATCACGGGGTGTCTGCGCCCTACACCACTGGAGAAATTACACTGCTTAGCCGGTATTGCACCACCTGACATCCGCCGGGAAGTGGCAGCCAATAGTGAAAGGACCAAGGCAGAGACATCTCCAGCTCATCCCTTGTTTAGGTATCAGCCAGCACATCAACGAGTTAAATCAAGAAATAGTTTTTTTTAGATCTACAGAGACACTCGCTGGAACATCTCAGCAAGCGAGAATCCAAAAGTGGCAGGCTCAAACCCAGAACCTCAACCAATGGCTGATACCAAGTGGGAGACTCCCCCCTGGGCACAAAGACGACAGGGTGACTTGGAAGGCGCTGAACAGACTGCGCTCTGGCACCACGAGATGCAGAGCCAACCTCAAGAAATGGGGCTACAAAGTGGAATCCACGACATGCGAGTGCGGAGAAGAGCAAACCACTGACCACCTGCTGCAATGCAACCTGAGCCCTGCCACATGATGCACAAGGGAGGACCTTCTTGCGGCAACACCAGAGGCACTCCAAGGGGACAGAGACTGGTCAAAGGACATTTAATCCACTACCAAACTGACAAATTTTGTATTTTGCCTGTTTGTTTGCTTTGTTCTGTTAGAAATGTAATATAATTCACTGGTTGCCCTGACACGACAAATAAATAAGCATAGTACAATATCAGTATTAATTATTACTATATTGTATTATTAATATTACATGCAATATAAATATATAATTATAATATATTATTAATATTATATTGCATGACATTATAATATAAATATATGTATATACAATATATAATATATCATATCATATCATATATTATTATGAATATTATATTATATACATTATATATATATATATATGCATATGCAGTATATTATATGATAGTTACCTAGTGGGGATTTTATTAGTTATTTTATTAGTAACTAGCTTGGGTACCAGGCATTGCCCAGGTAATTTGAAAAATTCAGTTTTAATCATACAAAATGCATACAGTTGTGGGTGAACTACAGCTCACATCATGCCGGGTTAACCATGGAAAAACTCAATCAGTACTTAAAGTTTATTATGTTTGCTCTAGATCAGTAATTCTCAACCTGTGGGTCCCCAGATGTTTTGGTCTTCAACTTGCAGAGATCCTAAGAGTTGGTAAACTGGCTGGGATTTCTGGGAGTTGTAGGCCAAAGCACCTTGGAATCCACAGGTTGAGAACCATTGCTTGAGATGCATCATTCAGTGTGCTCTCTGGCTGCAAGGTAAACTACAACACCTATTATGGTGAGTGAGTCCCCTCCGGTAGGTTGAGTTAGTCATAGGGGTTCTGTGTGCCAAGTGTGGTCTGGGTCCACCAACTACAACTCCCAGAAAGGAAGGTCAGTAACCCCCACCCCCCAATCCCTTCAGTAATCAAATTTCAGGATATCGGGTATGTGTGCCAACTTTGGTTCAGATCCATCAGTGTTGGAATTCACAGTTCTCTCTAGATGTAGGTGAACTACAACTCTCCAAAATCAAGATGAATTTTCCCCAAAGACCTTCAGTATTTTTTTCTGGTCATGGGGGCTCTGTGTGCCAAGTTTGGTCCAATTCCATTTCTGGTGGAGTTCAGAGTGCTCACTGATTGCAGGTGAACTATACATCCCAGTACCTACAACTCCAAAATGTCCAAGCCATTTCCCCTCAAAACCCCTGGATTTTTTAGCACCAGGATTGTGGCGCAGCTGGCTGAGTGTCAGCTGCATTAAGATCACTCTGACCAAAAGGTCATGAGTTCGAAGCCAGCCCGGGTTGGAGTGGGTTTCCAACCATTTGTGTGTAGCCTGTTGTCGACCTTTGCAACCCGAAAGACAGTTGCATCTGTCAAGTAGGAAAATAAGGTACCACCTTAAAGTGTGGGGAGGCTATATTAACTGATTTATGAGGCCATAAAGAAGACTCCAGCAAAGCATTCCAGCGAGGAAGCATGCGGGGAATGCGGAAGTGCTTCATCAGCGTCGCAGATGGACGATGAAAGCGACAGCTCCCCTGGCGGCCAGAAAAAGTTAAATAGCCTCTGTCTATGTCTGTATATGTTTGTATGTCAAAAATTGGCATTGAATGTTTGCCATATATGTGTACACTGTAATCCGCCCTGAGTCCCCTGCGGGGTGAGGAGAAGGGCGGAAGAGAAAAGCTGTAAATAAATAAATAAATTAAATAGTCCACTTACCTTCACCATTTCCCATTAGGACATATTCCAGCCTTAGGTACTTGCTTAACTTGGAAAAAAAGCCCTTGAATTCATGGAAATCGCCCATTCTGGTTTTTTTGTCGTGGCTTAATAATGTTTTTTATGAGTTGTTTATCCTTCCTATTTCAAAGGAATTTGTTGCTCTACAATCCGTATTTACTTCTTTTTCCTAGTAAAAACTATGGGATCACAATCAAGGACCTTGACCAGCCACTGCTCATTCACAGACCCAAAGAAAGAAAGAATCCCCCGGGGAAGGTAAGGAGGTTGGCATTGCGTTTAGAACTGGAGAGCGATAATCACCAGAATTCAAGCACTAATGGAAAGCAGATGGCCTTAAGTAAAAAGATAAAGGTTTCCCCTGATATTTAGTCTGATTCTGGGACTCTGGTGCTCATCTCCATTTCTAAGCCAAAGAGCCGGCATTGTCCATAGACACCTCCAAGGTCATGTGGCCACTGGCATGACTGCACGGAGCACCGTTACTTTTCAGCTGGAGCGGTACCTATTGATCTACTCACATTTGCATGTGTTTGAACTACTAGGTTGGCAGAAGCTGGGGCTAACAGCAGGAGCTCACCCCACTCCCTGGATTCGAACCACCAACCTTTCAGTCAGCAAATTCAGCAGCTCACTGATTTAATCCACTGTGTCACCAGGGGACCCTGGCTTTAAGTAGCAAAGCTTTGCATTTGTTTTGTCTGGAGGAATCTTATGCCTCCTTGAATTAGCCAGAGCAAGGCAATCTGCAGTGTAGACCAGACCTGGGCAAACTTTGGCTCTCCAGGTGTTTTGGACTTACAACTCCCACAACTCCTAAGAGCTAGTAGGCTGTTAGAAATTGTGGGAATTGAAGTCCAAAACACCTAGAGGGCTCAAGTTTACCCAGGCCTGTCCCAGCCCCCATCTTAGTAGTTTTCTCTTCCCACCGTTTCTGCCCAATTGTGCTAAAGCATGGACAGGTGAGTGAGTGCCCTCTGGTAGCACAGTGGGTTAAACTGCTGAGCTGCTGAACCTGCTGACGGAAAGGTTGGCAGTTCGAATCCGGGAGCGGGGTGAGCTCCTCCTGTTAGGCCCAGCTTCTGCCAACCTAGCAGTTCGAAAACATGCAAATGTGAGTAGATCAACATGCAAATGTGAGTAGATAATGGATGACGAGACTGGATTCTGATTTTACTGTTGAGGCGCTAATGATTGTTATACGGATGTTTAATGATTTATGTTACAATTGTTTTTAATTGCCCTATACTTGTCTCCTGATGTTTTGTATTGATGTTGTTCACCGCTTTGAGTCGCCTGAGGGCTGAGAAAAGCGGGATAGAAATAAAGTAAATAAATAAATAAAATAAATAGATAGATCAATGGGAACCGCTCCGGCAGGAAGGTAATGGCTCTCCTTGCAGTCATGCTGGCCACGTGACCTTGGAGGTGTCTATGGACAATGCCGGCTCTTTGGCTTAGAAATGGAGATGAGCACCAACCCCCAGAGTCAGACATGTCTGGACTTAAGGTCAGGGGAAACCTTTACCTTTGCCTGTGGACAGGTGGGATGTATCTCAGCTCCAAATATTGGAAGTGAAAGCTTTTCTTTTTGTCTACTGTGCCTACTTACGTATGCATCTTCATGCTGTTTGGTTAATTTACCTACAGTTGCAAAGGGGTGAAATCCTCCTGGTGCCAGAACTCTCGTTCCTGACTGGAATCCCTGAGAGGATGAAGAAAGATTTCAGAATCATGAAGGTGCCTTGAGCTCATTCACTTATTTGGTTGATTTGGTTCTTCCATTCTCTGTGCCCGTATTATTAGTTTGGAAAAAAAATTGAAATGCTTGCTGAATTTCCGTTTTTCTTACTTGGTGATGAAACTTTATTGAAAATTGGGGAGTTAATGGTTTCTATTATGACAACATTTTTCTCCTTATTTGTAAAAATAAAACCACATTTAGGACATATGTAGATTGCATGGAATAGATTCTTTGAGCCTGCATCTTACAGATACGCAAGGAATGAAAAATTTATCCTTTGTTTAAAATAAGAATATTTTCTACTATAAGTGCTCTGTGTTTATAGGCAATATAGTAATAACTACCGTATATACTCGAGTATAAGCTGACCCGAATATAAGCCGAGACTCCTAATTTTACCACACAAAACTGGGAAAACGTATTGACTCGAGTATAAGCCGAGGGTGGGAAATGCAGCATTTACAGGTCAATTTCAAAATAGAAATAGATACCAATAAAATTACATTAATTGAGGCATCAGTAGAGTAAATATTCAAAAATATTTACATAAAATTGTAATTTAAGACAAAGCTGTCCAACTCTGATTAAAACATTATTCTAACCTTCTTCAATGTAAATGTGCTTACATATCCTTCCAATAATAGTAAAGGGAGTAAAATAATAAATGTAATAATAATAATAATAATAATAGAGTAAGATAATGGAAATGTCATAACAGTAATAAGAGAGTAAAATAATAAACGTAATAAAATAATAATAGAGTAAACTATTGGAAATGCCATAACAGTAATAAGAGCATAAAATAATAAATGTAATAATAATAGAGTAAAATAATAAATGTAATAATAATAATAATAATAATAATAATAATAAATAGAGTAAAATAATAAATGCAATAAAAATAATACTAATAACAGAGTAAAATAGTAAATAACCTTGACTCGAGTATAAGCCGAGGGGAGATTTTTCAGCCTAAAAGAGGGGCTGAAAAACTAGGCTTATACTCGAGTATATACAATATTCCAAAAAGGCTTGAAATACAGAAATAAGACTGCCCTTTTCTTTGTTCTCAATTCTGCTGTGACTTCATTATAGTAAATATACATCCCCATAAAGAGATAAAAAGAAAATTAGAAACAAACTTCTTGAAAAGTGTAACTTGCAAAAACGTATTCAAAAATAGATCCCTTATTTTCTCAATTGCGCGCTTATCCAGTATGGCAGTGCCTTGATGTGGCCAATGTTTTCTGATATTAATCATGTTGTTCACATTTCAAAAGCTTCTTTCTTCGCTCCTTGATCTGGTCATTGAATTGAATTGCTGTTTTTTATGGTGTAGAAATTTGTTCCTATTCTTTCAATGTTATTTGGCCTCTAGTTTTAAAAAATCTGTCAAAGAAATACAGCCTACCCTCTCCTTCTTTAAAACCCTCCTATTAGATATATCCTACCTTGTTTATGCCCAGCGTTTATTTTTTTTATTTTTAACTATTACATCTGGCCCGGCCATAGGTTTTTAAATCCTTGCATGTTAATGTTTATATGTGATTTATTTAATTGTTGTTTTTTTTTGTTTATTGCTTTCTTGTTTATTGATGTGTTGTTGGGCTTGGCCTCATGTAAGCCGCTCCGAGTCCCTTGGGGAGATTTTTTTTTTTTTTGTCGTGTCAGGAGCAACTTGAGAAACTGCAAGTCGCTTCTGTTGTGAGAGAATTGGCCGTCTGCAAGGACGTTGCCCAGGGGACACCCGGATGATTTGATGTTTTTATCATCCTTGTGGGAGGCTTCTCTCATGTCCCCGCATGAGGAGCTGGAGCTGATAGAGGGAGCTCATCTGCCTCTCCCCGGATTCGAACCTGCGACCTGTCGGTCTTCAGTCCTGCCAGCACAGGGGTTTAACTCACTGCGCCACCGGGGGCTCCTTGGGGAGATGGAGGCGGGGTATAAATAAAGTTATTGTTAGGTAAAGGTAAAGGTTGTCCCCTGACATTAAGTCCAGTCATGTCTCTGTTTAGGACCCCATTCCTTTAGGAGTTTCTCCCCCACAAACAATCTGCTCCATCCCTAAAATCTCATCCTGATTTTAGTATTTTTAATATCTTAGTTTTTCTCTTGCACATGCGGCCCGCTCATTGTTATGTTATGTTATTTTATTTTACTATGATTTTGCATTATTGTCTTTGCATTCATCTTGTATGTATTTTACTGTGTTGTTATGTGTTTTGGTTTTACTTTATTGTCATAGACTGTTGGGCTTCGCCTCGTGTAAGCCGCCCCAAGTCCCCATTGGGGAGATGGTGGCGGGGTAGTAAATAAAGATGATGATGATGATGATGATGATGATTATATTTATTATGGTTGGCAAATAAATAAATAAATAAATATCATGGCTTTTAAAATATCCGGGGCATTAAGATCAGGCATAAAAGGACCTCACCAATAAAGGCATGGACCCTATATAAGTTCATAGGTAAAGGTTTCCCCCTGACATTAAGTCCGGTCATGTCTGGCTCTGGGGGTTGGTGCTCATCTCCATTTCTAAGCCGAAGAGCCAGATTTGTCCATAGACACCTCCAAGGTCATGTGGCCAGCATGACCGCATGGAGCACCGTTATCTTCCCGCCGGAGCGGTACCTATTGATCTACTCACATTTGCATGTTTTCGAATTGCTATGTTGGCAGAAGCTAGGGCTGACAGCGGAAACTCATACCACTCCCTGGAATCGAACCTGCGACCTTTTGGTCAACAAGCTCAGCAGCTCAGTGCTTTAACCCACTGCGCCACTGGGGGCGTTATTGTTGTTGTTGTTATTATTATTATTAATATTATTAATTGTTATTATTATTATTATTATTATTATTGTTGTTGTTGTTGTTGTTGTTTGGATTGTTGCTTATTTGACTATTCATGAATTTGATTAAAATGGTTCTCTTTCAAACCCCCCCCCCTTTTTTTTTTTAGCTGAGAAAGCCTCCCTTTGGTTGTAATGGGGTCAAGGCCAGGCGGGAAGCCTGGAAGCCATTGCTTGCAATATATGATATATTTCTCTCTCCTCTTCCCCTCCCTTGACTGTGTTTTCTTTACCAGTCAAAAGGGAGGGAAGGAGGGAAATGACATATATTTCATGTCCTCCTTGTTTAAATGGCTCTCTTTCAAACCCACCCAATTTTCTGGCTTGTGTGTGTGTGTATCTAAATGTATTAACTTTATATGTGCATTTTTATTCCCTTGGAAGTGTTCACTGGCCTTTGCAGGTCCCATAGATCTATAAATATGTTTCTACGTATGCATGTTTCTCCCAGAGTCTTTGCAAACCTTATAAATCCATTAACCTTATAAAAGCGTTCTCCCCTGAAAAATTGTTAATCTCTCCTACAGATATATAGGCATTTCCCCCAGCAAGGCTTTGCAATCCCCATTTATTTTATTTATTATTTATTTATTTAGAACTTTTATATACCGGTCTTCTCACCTCCAACGAGGGGCTCAGGCTGGTTTACAACAGGGGAATTCATACACAATAGTTTAAAACATCACATCCAATAATACACTACTATAAAACACATTAAAATACAATCATATAATTACATAAGACCAAGTCGTCCGAATAAAATCACTATTCATCCCCATCCGTCTGTGTGGTCAAGAGTTATTGACTCACTCATCAAATGCCAGATTCCAGAGCCAGGTTTTCACCAACTTTCTAAAGGTCAGGAGGGAAGGGGCAGTTCTAATCTCCAATGAGAGAGAGTTCCAGAGCCGAGGGGCCACCACCGAGAAAGCCCTGTCCCTCGTCCCCACCAGACGCGATTGCGAGGGTGGTGGGACCGAGAGCAGGGCCCCTCCAGAAGATCTTAACAACCTTGATGGTTCATAGGGGAGAATCCGTTCGGACAGGTAAATTGGGCCGGAGTCGTTTAGGGATTTATAGGTCAACACCAGCACTTTGAATTGTGCTCGGAAGCTAATTGGCAGCCAGTGGAGCTGGTGCAACAGAGGAATAGTATGCTCCCTGTACCCCGCTCCTGTTAGTAATCTGGCTGCCGCTCATTGGACTAATTGCAGCTTCCGGGTAGTCTTCAGAGGAAACCCCACATAGGGAGCGTTGCATATCAGGGGATGGATATCTGTATCCATCTATATACGTTAATTTTGTATATGAATTTTCCCCTGATATGTTTGCAGGTGTTTGCAAATCCTATATGCATATAGATATCTAGAGATTTCCATGTACCTTTGTATCTATATCTATATGTATACATTATTTTTATATATTAAATCTATATAAATAAAAATGTATTGTTCATTTGTGGGATTAACATAACTCAAAAACCACTGGACGAATTGACACGAAATTTGGACACAGTACACCGTACAGTCCAACGAGTGTCCATCACCCCTAAAACACACACACACACACACACACACACACAAACCCCCAGCGGAACAGACTTAACAACCCAAAAAATACACCATATATACATATGCACATACACTCATATATACACATGCACACATTCATACACACACACACACACATATATGCAGAAACACACACAAATATACACATACATACACACATATATACATATACACATGCACACACACATATACATATATATATATACATATTCACATGCACACACAAATACACATATACATATATATATATATATACACATGTAAACATGCACACACATATACACACAAATATGTATATAGGCAAACACACATATATACACAATATGCATGTACACACATATACACACACATATATACACCCATTTATATTCACACACACACTCACAAATACACATATATACACAAAAATATACACACACAAAACAAATATACACAGACTGGTCCACAGCAACGCGTGACCCGGGACGGCTAGTTAGTATATATATCATTATAGATTTATAGCTCTGCATTGTTTATATAGGGATTGAATTTTTGCTTTTTACTATGTTGGAAGCCGGCCAAAGTCCCCATGGATAGATAGAGCAGGATATAAATGAAGTATTATTATTATTATTAAGTTATTATTGTAACTGAATATAGGAATACGGAATAATGGATGATGAGATTGGATTCTGATTTTACTGATGAGACGCTAATGATTGTTATATTGATGTTTAATCGTTGATGATGCTACTGTTTTTAACTGTCCCATATTTGTTTTGTGTGATGTTTTTGCCTTGAATTTAGCTGTTGTTAACGGCTTTGAGTCGCCTGAGGGCTGAGAAAAGCGGTATATAAATGAAGTAAATAAATAAATAATAAATACCATATTGTTTTTGTTGACCCTACTTTTCCACTTACAGAGCTAGTTTACTGTTTTTCTTTGAGATACAGAAAATATTCAAAATCATTAAACCTACCGATGCCTCAATTAATGTAATTGTATTGGTATCTATTTTTATTTTGAAATTTATACATAGCTGTTGCATTTCCCACCCTCTGCTTATACTCGACTCAATAAGTTTTCCCAGTTTTTTTGTGGTAAAATTAGGTGCCTCGGCTTATATTTGGGTTTCCTTATACTCAAGTATATATGGTATGTGAAATTATGAGAAAAGTAAGGTCATGGAAGGATAGAAAATAGTTATTGTGTAGATAGTCAATTTATTTGTATCTCAAAGTGTTTATATGATCTTGTCTCTCTTGCCTGGTTATTAGGAGCTTTCTCATCAAATCAACCTGAGTCCTAAACAACACCATATGTCTTTGAGGCAGCTTCTGGACAGAATTAAGAAGAACAAGGACGCTCACAATGAGTTGTCACGGTGGGGACTTCACTTGGACAATGACATTTGTAAGGTAATTGAATAATCAGGTTTACCTCATCTAATTTTGAATTCTTATTGAATTAATATTTTCATAGGCACTCTGTCTCATTTATTCTTATTTATTTATTTATTTATTTATTTATTTTACACCACCAGTGGTCCCCAAGAACTATTTATTTATTTATTTTTTTATTTACAGTATTTATATTTTGCCCTTCTCACCCTGCAGGGGACTCAGGGCGGATTACAATGTACATATACGTGGCAAACATTCAGTGCCGTAGACACACAACATATATAGACAGACACATAGAGGCTATTTAAAATTCCAGCTTTTTCATGAGGGTATTCTGGCCACCAGGGGAGCTGTTGCTTCACCATCCATTAGTGACAATGATAGAGTACTTCCTCATTCTTTTTGCATGCTTGCTGGAGATTTTTATTTATTTATTTATTTAAAAGTTTTATATACCAGCCTTCTCACCTCTCTTGAGGGACTCAGGTCGGTTTCCAACCATAATATCACAGACAATCAATAAAACATCATAATTCATATTACAATAAAACATTAAAACAGTAATTACAATCAATAACTACAATGGTCAGTCGTCACACTAAGATCGTTGTTCATCATCCTCCTTCCATATCTCAGGGTGTTGACTCACTCGTCGAATGCCTGTCTCCATAGCCAAGTCTTCACCTGTTTCCTAAATGTCAGGATAGACGGGGCGGTTCTGATCTCCAGTGGGAGAGAGTTCCAGAGCCGAGGGGCCACCACCTAGAAGGCCCTGTCCCTCGTCCTCACCAGACGCGCTTGCGAAGCCGGTGGGACCGAGATCAGGGCCTCTCCAGACGATCTTAATAATCTTGATGGTTCGTAGGGGAGAATACGTTCGGAGAGGTAAACAGGGCCGGAGTCGTTTAGAGCTTTATAGGTTAACACCAGCACTTTGAATTGTGCTCGGAAGCTAATTGTCAGCCAGTGGAGCTGGTGTAACAGCGGAGTGGTGTGCTCCCTGTACCCAGCACCTGTTAGTAGTCTGGCTGCCAAGCGTTGGACTAGCTGCAGCTTCTGGGCAGTCTTCAGAGGCAACCCCACGTAGAGAGCGTTGCAGTAGTCTAAATGGGATGTAACCAAAGCGTGGACCACCGTGGCCAAGTCAGACTTCCCAAGGCACGGGCGCAGCTGGCGCATAAGTTTTAATTGTGCAAAAGCTACCCTGACCCTGGCATTGTATATTAGTTAAATTAGCCTCCCTGTATAAACGGTACCTACATTTCCTACTTGACAGATGCAACTGTCTTTCGGGCTGCAAAGGTCAACAGCAAGCTACACAATGGTCGGAAGCTCACTCCAACCCAGACTGGCTTCGAACTCATGACCTTTTGGTCAGTAATGATCTTAATGCAGCTGACTCCCAGGCAGCTGTGCTACAGTCCCAGTTATCCCAAACTCAGTTCCATTGTGTTACAAAAAGTAATTGATCCAGTTTATCCTTTCACGCCATTGGAAATGATCAACTAAAGTAGCTGATAATTGGATAAAAAGGAATTAACCTATTTATACATTAAAAAAAAGTTAAAGGTAGTCCCCTGACATTAAGTCCAGTCATGTCTGACTCTGGGGTGTGGTGCTCACCTCCATTTCTAAGCCGAAGAGCCAGCGTTGTCCGTAAACACCTCCAAGGTCATGTGGCCGGCATGACTGCATGGAGCGCCATTTATACATTACATGGCTGTTTTGATGTCTTTTTTAAGAGCTCATTGTACTCTGAAAGAACAATTTATGGGTGCCCATTTTAGACCTCAAGTGCATCAATGAGTTTGTGAAGAAAACTCCAGTTAAGCCCTTTGTTTGTGCATTTTGCTGTTTCTTTCAATCAGGCAAATGGCCGTATTCTCCCCATGGAAAGAATCAACCTAAAGAAGACCACTTTCAATACTTCGGTGGACCTAAACTGGTGCAAAGAGGTCACAAGGGAAGCCTGCATCTCTGCAGTAAGATTTTTTTTTAAATTTTAGACTAGGTTGGGTATGTGGCATTGCCCAGGTTACACTGTTCTACAAATTTTCAGTTTTTCTCAGTTGCGGAAACGAAATGTGCCGTTTCTTAATAAATTTAACATGCTGAATTCAAATATAATAATTAAATGTGTTAATTGGCTCTGGTTTTTATGCAACAGCTATTTCAATTTTCTCCACAATAGGTAATTCGTTAATATTATGATAATGCGCCTAACCTTACTGCATGTATATAAACCGTGAATATTTACTAAATTTTAGTCAAATTATCTTGTCAATAGTTTATACATGAGAAATATTTATTTAATAAGTCTATTGTTTATGTTTGTGCAGCAAGAAACTCTATTAGTAGGCCTAATGCAGTTGAAAAGTCTGAAAGTTTAAATGTCGCTTTAATCGTGACTTTAGTTTCTATCCTGTTTGCTTCTCTTGACTTTTCTTTGGTATTCAAGGAAAGGATTCCCTCTTCCAATGCTCCAGCAGGAGTCTGACAGCATTGACAGAGTCCATTGGCCTTGATATCTTTTTTCCATAGGGCTTTATTTACACACGTGTGAGGAAGCATAACTACAGTAAAAAGAACAATGTAAAACCATGTTTAACGATACTGCCTCAGTCTTCAACTGACTCACCCTCACCGTTCAAAAGTCTGGCCTTATATAGGGCTTTCTGGCTTTTGCACACGGCACTAATACTGCGTCATCAAACTTTCTAGAATATTCTAGAATCTTCCATAGTGCAAGTCGCAACATGAATTTTTTTCAACCATACGTGATCACGTGATTGCTTATATCATAAAAACTAGAGCCAATATACATTTTTAAATGTCATTTTCGTTTTCAGCACCCCAAAATCATAAAAGAACAACTATTTTCAGGCCCGCAACTTTTTCTCCGTTGAACAGTGTTATTTGAAAAAAAGTCAATTTTTTTAATTGTACAAAATGCAGAAGGTCGTGGGTGAACTACAACTCGCATCATGCCAGGTAAACCCTGAGAAACTCCATTAGTACTTAAAGTTTGTTACATTGGGCAAGTTTGCTCTAGATGCATCCTCGGAGGGGTTCAGTGTGCTCTCTGACTGTACCGTAAACTGCACCTCCCACTATGGTGAGTCAGTCCCCTCAAACTCCTCCAGTGGGTTGAGTTAGTCGTGAGGGTTCTGTGTGTCAAGTTTGGTCGAGGCAAGGCAGGTGGAACTCACAGGTGGAACTCACCATTTTTAACTTTTTAACATTTTACTTCATACATTTGGACTGCCCTCTGTGTCTGATTTTTTTTAAACTTTTTATTTATTGTAGCTTTAACATATTCAGTGTTTATTTATTGAGTCATCAGCAACCAGTCATTTATATCACATTTCTAACAGAACAAAGCAAACAAACAGACAAAATACAAAATACAGAATACAAAATTTATGAGTTTGGTAGTTGTTTAAATGTCCTTTGACCAGTATCTGGCCACTTGGAGTGCTTCTGGTGTTGCTGCAAGAAGGTCCTCCATTGTGCATGTGGCAGGGCTCAGGTGCATTGCAGCAGGTGGTCAGTGGTTTGCTCTTCTCCACACTCGCATGTTGTGGATTCCACTTTGTGGCCCCATTTCTGAAGGTTGGCTCTGCATCTCGTGGTGCCAGAGCGCAGTCTGTTCAGCGCCTTCCAAGTCGCCCAGTCTTCTGTGTGCCCAGGGGGGAGTCTCTCATTTGGTATCAGCCATCTGATTGAGGTTCTGGGTTTGAGCCTGCCACTTTTGGACTCTCGCTTGCTGAGGTGTTCCAGCGAGTGTCTCTGTAGATCTTAGAAAACTATTTCTAGATTTAAGTCGTTGACGTGCTGGCTGATACCCAAACAGGGGATGAGCTGGAGATGTCTCTGCCTTGGTCCTTTCACTATTGGCTGCTACTTCCCGGCGGATGTCAGGTGGTGCAATACCGGCTAAGCAGTGTAATTTCTCCAGTGGTGTAGGGCGCAGACACCCCGTGATAATTCGGCATGTCTCATTAAGAGCCACATCCACTGTTTTAGTGTGGTGAGATGTGTTCCACACTGGGCATGCATACTCAGCAGCAGAGTAGCATAGCGCAAGGGCAGATGTCTTCACTGTGTCTGGTTGTGATCCCCAGGTTGTGCCAGTCAGCTTTCGATGTGATATTGTTTCTAGCACCCACTTTTTGCTTGATGTTCAGGCAGTGCTTCTTGTAAGTCAGAGCACGGTCCAGAGTGACTCCTCCCAGGTATTTGGGTGCGCTGCAATGCTCCAGTGGGATTCCTTCCCAGGTGATCTTCAGAGCTCGGGATGCTTCTCTGTTCTTGAGATGAAAGGCACATGTCTGTGTTTTAGATGGGTTAGGGATCAGCTGGTTTTCCCTGTAATAGGCAGTAAGAGCACCTAGAGCTTCAGAGAGCTTCTGTTCTACCATCCCAAAGCTCCCTGCTTGAGCGGTAATGGCACGATCATCAGCATAGATGAAGCTCTCTGTCCCTTCTGGCAGTGGCTGGTCATTTGTGTAGATGTTGGACATGGATGGAGCAAGCACGCTCCCCTGAGGCAGGCCGTTCTTCTGTTTCCGCCATCTGCTTCTCTTGCCCTGGAACTCAACAAAAAAGCTCCTGTTTTGTAGCAGGTTTCCTATTCAGTGTTTAAACATTCTTATCTTATCACTTCCCATTAACAAATTGTACAGAACATGTATGTCTTGATACCTATAATATTTCATCCTCCTGCTTCATTACATATTGTCCAATCACCCAGTGCTGACCTTTCACCCCAGGCCAGCCAATTACAATACTTATTTCCAAAAATCAGTTGTTTCTATTACAGGTTTGGTCCCCTTAGCTTCTATATATACATATTCTATCAATGTCCGAGTTTTGAAAATTGAGATTAGATGATGCATGAGATGGGGGTAAATGTGAGTATGTTGCTCTCTGTTCAATTTCCCAGGTTCCACTCCGTTACTGGGCGCTGTTTTATCCAAAGCGGACGAGGGAGCAAGCTTCTGAACTGGTGACAACGCTGCAGAAGATCTCAGGCCCTCTTGACATGGTGTTAAACCCACCTGTTTGGTCAGAACTCAAGGATGACAGGATGGAGACCTATGTCAGGGCCATCAAATCATTACTCACTAGTGAGGTATGTGGTTTGAAGAGTGCATTCTGGTTTTCCTCTGCAGTTATCAGAGACAATATTTGATAGAGCTATTATTCTGAACTCTGTATTTTTACGGTAAACCTTACTGTGCTATTTCAGTGTACATTATGTTTTCTTATGTGATAGTGTGCCACCACTAACATTAATTGATTGGGAATGTAAGCCAGTGACTAAACAATGCTGTCTTGCAAGAAAGTGCTGGCTTTAGCCAGTGGTTCTCAACCTGTGGGTTCTGGTCTGGCTTACCTATCTGAACGTATCTCTCCTTATGAACCATCTAGGACAGTGGTTCTCAACCTGGGGTCCCCTGATGTTTTTGGCCTTCAACTCCCAGAAATCCTAACAGCTGGTAAACTGGCTGGGATTTCTGGGAGTTGTAGGCCAAAAACATCTGGGGACCCCAGGTTGAGAAGCACTGATCTAGGACTTTAAGATCATCTGGGGAGGCCCTGCTTTCAATCCCACCTTCCTCGCAAATGCGTTTGGCGGGGACAAGAGACACGGCCTTCTCAGTGGTGGCCCCTTGGCTATGGGGCACACTCCCCAGGGATATAAGTTCAGCTCCCTCCCTTCTAACATTCCAAAAGATGGTTAAGACCTGGCTTTTCAAGCAGGCTTTTACTACTGGAGCATAATTTGGATTTTGCGACATGGATTCTCCCGGGTCAGCTTGGTTTTACTGGCACGTTAATCTATTAATGTACTGTTAAATTTTACTGATGATGTTGTACAATGTTTTAAAATGATTTTATTGTGAATTGTAATTTTTGTGGTATTTACGCTGTTAGCATCCTCTGATGCTCATGTGAGGCTGCGCTGAGTACCCCTTGTGGGGGGAAGGGCGGGATAGAAATATATGAAATAAATAAATAAATAAATAAATAGACAAAATGAATCATGGAATGTCTGACGATGCAATTGGATCACGATTTCAGTAAGGAGACGTTGAGGATTTGTTTTTATAGATATTATTGTTTTTTTATATTTTTAATGTTGAACTGTTTTTATAACTGTTCTTATAATAGTTTTTAACTGTACCCTGATATTTGTTATGGAATCGAATCCCTGCCGACTGTCAACCGCCTTGAGTCACCTCTGTCTGAGAAAGGCAGTATACAAATGTAGCAATAAATAAATAAATAAATAAATAAATAAAAATGTATTGTCAAAGGCTTTCATGGCCGGAATCACTGGGTTGTTGTAGGTTTTTTCAGGCTATATGGCCATGTTCTAGAGGCATTCTCTCCTGACGTTTCGTCTGCATCTGTGGCAAGCATCCTCAGAGGTAGTGAGGTCTGTTGGGACTAGGAAAAGGGGTTTATATATCTGTGGAATGACCAGGGTGGGCAAAGGACTCTTGTCTGCTGGAGCTAGGTGTGAATGTTTCAACTGACCACCTTGATTAGCATTTGATGGCCTGGCAGTGCCTGGGGCAATATTTTGTTGAGAGGTGATTAGATGTCCCTGATTGTTTCCCCTCTGTTGTTTTGCTGTTGTAATTTTAGAGTTTTTTAATACTGGTAGCCAGATTTTGTTCATTTTCATGCTTTCCTCCTTTCTGTTGACATTGTCCACATGCTTCTTGTGGATTTCAATGGCTTCTCTGTGTAGTCTGACATGGTGGTTGTGAGAGTGGTTCAGCATTTCTGTCTTCTCAAATAATCTGCTGTGTCCAGGCTGGTTCCTCAGGTGCTCTGCTCTGGCTGACTTCTCTGGTTGAAGGAGTCTCCAGTGCCTTCCATGTTCCTTGATGCATGTCTGGGCAATGGTGCTGCAAATAGTGGTCCCTCTGGAGACTTCTTGTCCACAGCTGCATGGTACACAGTAGACTCCTGCAGAGGTGAGAGGATCCCTCTTGTCCTTTGCTGAATGGAGCAAATAAATAAACAAACAAACAAATAAATAAAACCCTTCCGAGCCCATACAGCTGATCAAGAACTAGAATCTCTAGGTGACAACAAGGACTTGTTGGGAGAGTCAGTGAATAGAGATTGATAAGCTAAGCAACCTTTTCTTCTGTAAATACTCGATTATCCTGGACATTTATTTATTTATTTATTTATTTGCCGTGTCAGGGCAACCAGTCAATTATATTACATTTCTAACAGAACAAAGCAAACAAACAGACAAAATACAAGATTTGTGAGTTTGGTTGTAGATTAAATGTCCTTTGTCCAGTATCTGGCCCCTTGGAGTGCCTCTGGTGTTGCTGCAAGGAGGTCCTCCCTTGTGCATCATGTGGCAGGGCTCATGTTGCATTGCAGCAGGTGGTCAGTGGTTTGCTCTTCTCCACACTTGCATATGTTGTGGATTCCACTTTGTAGCCCCATTTCTTGAGGTTGGCTCTGCATCTTGTGGGGCCAGAGCGCAGTCTGTTCAGCGCCTTCCAAGTCGCCCCGTGCCCAGGGGGGAGTCTCTCATTTGGTATCAGTCATTGGTTGAGGTTATGGGTTTGAGCCTGCCACTTTTGGACTCTCGCTTGCTGAGGTGTTCCTGTGAGTGTCTCTGTAGATCTGAGAAAATTATTTCTTGATTTAAGTCGTTGACGTGCTGGCTGATACCTAAAAAGGGGGTGGGCCGGAGATGTCACTGCCTTGGTCCTTTCACTATTGCCTGTTACTTCCCAGCGGATGTCAGGTGGTGCAATAACGGCTAAGTAGTGTAATTTCTCCAGTGGTGTGGGGCGCAGACACCCCGTGATAATGCGGCATGTCTCATTCAGAGCCACATCCACTGTTTTAGCGTAGTGAGATGTGTTCCACACTGGGCATGCATACTCAGCAGCAGAGTAGCCTAGCGCAAGGGCAGATGTCTTCACTGTGTCTGGTTGTGATCCCCAGGTTGTGCCAGTTAGCTTTCGTATGATATTATTTCTAGCGCCCACTTTTTGTTTGATGTTCAGGCAGTGCTTCTTGTAGGTCAGAGCACGGTCCAGAGTGACTCCTCCCAGGTATTTGGGTGTGCTGCAATGCTCCCGTGGGATTCCTTCCTTCCCAGGTAATCATCCTCAGAGCTCGGGATGCTTGTCTGTTCTTGAGATGAAAGGTACATGTCTGTCCTGGACATTAGTTTAAATAACCCAAGTTCCATATAGCCAGGCTAGACTGAAGTCCACACAGTGTTCTCTGATTTAATATTCTATGGCATAAAATGTCTACAAAACAGAGTTTGATATTACAGACCGATTGCAACTCTGCAGCTTATTCCATAGTGGCGCTTACTGAGCTTCCGCCACAACTTCTGTATGATTTCAGCTCTGTCTCAGTTACTGGCAATATGTAATGTTCTTATGTTTGGTTTGTGGTGGTAGTGGTTTTGTTAAATCAGCCACTATCTTCTCCCACACTTCATGTCCATGTGTTTTTCTAGAGCACCATTCAGCTGGTAGTCTGCATTATCACTGGGACCAGAGATGACTTATATGGAGCTATTAAAAAGCTGTGCTGTGTACAGACTCCAGTCCCTTCTCAGGTGAGTCAAATGGTTTGCTGTATGGTTTCTGATCTGAGAATGTTACCAGTGTTTCTCAACGTTCCTAATGCCGTGACCCCTTAATACAGTTCCTTATGTTGTCGGGGCCCCCAATCATCAAATTATTTTTGTTGCTACTTCATAACTGTCATTTTGCTACTGTTATGAATTTTAATACAAAGACTAATAATAGTAAATAATAAACTTTATTTATACCCCGCCACCATCTCCCCGATGGGGACTCGGGGCCGCTTACATGAGGCCAAACCCAAACAACAAATTACAGCAAAATAAAAACTAAAACAATAAACAACATCATAATTACATAAAACATATGAATGTCACAGTGACAATGGGGCAGGCTGCATGTAATGATTAAAAGAAAAACTAATTAAAAACTGATTAAAAACTCGGGTGAGATAAAGGGAAGCAGGTTATTTGCGGAGGGGGGCTCATTCAAATGGGAGTTGTGGAATCAAACTTTCCCACAAGGGGAGGGGGGGACGTAGACTCCAATGACGAAACATTGAGGCTAAGCAATAGTGTGAGGTTGTATACCTACTTACCAAAGGCGCAGCGGAAGAGCCGGGTTTTAAGGTTCTTTTTAAAGGTTTGGGTACGGGCTTTCCTAATCTCTCCAGGTAATTATGTATTTTCATTCACGGGAGCAAATTTGACACAAATACCCAATACGCCCAAGTTTGAATACTTGTGGGATTGGGGGAAATTGATTTTGTCATTTGGGAGTTGTAGTTCCTGGGATTTATAGTTATCCTATGATCAGAGACCATCCTGAACTTCACCAACAATTGAATTGAACCCCAACTTGGCACACATGAACTCCCATGGCCAACAAAAAATCCTGAAAGGGTTTGCTGGGCATTGACCTTGAGTGTTGGAGTTGTAGTTCACCTACACCCAGAGAGCACTGTGGACTCAAACAGTGATAGATCTGGACCAAACTTGTCACGAATACTCAATATGTCCAAATGTGAACACTGGTGGAGTTTGGGGAAAATAGACCTTGACATTTGTGAGTTATAGTTGCTTGGATTTATAGTTCACCTACAATCAAAGAGCGTTCTGAACCCCCCACCAAGGAAAGAATTGGACGAAATTTCCCACACAGAACCCCCTAGCTGGGGTGAGCCTCCCTCCAGCCCTGCATTCTCCCCCTTGACCACGCATGCGCACCATGCTGCCATGTGCTGAGCACGCCTGCTCTCCCCTCCGCACTTGGAGTCTCGGAAACAGCCCTCCCCTTGGCTAAGAGGCCGGCCAATCACAGCGGAGGAGGGCTTTTGGTGGGGAGTATTTGCCATCTGTTTCCAAAAAGGAAGAGAAGCACAGGCGGAGAGATCTTCGTCCTTCTCTGCCAAAGGGCTTTCTAAGACCATCAGAAATATATGAAACCCCGTTGCCCAGGGTCTTGACCCCCAGGTTGAAAAATGCTGCTTTAAATCTTCTATTCATGACAGTTGGTATTTATTGATAACTTGCACTGGGTGCTGCATAATTTATGGTTGGCGTCTGCTATGCAGAATCAATAGTATTGCTTTGCCTCTAAAAGGATGAGACTGGTTGTTCCTTGAATCCTCTTCAAAAGGAGACACTCCCAGCTCACTCCATTTGCTTTGACCGGTCATGAACTAAGGCCTTGTGTTGGTTTAGTGATGAGTACTACGTTTTGTGGGGGTATTTTTATTCATGCCATGATTTTTGGAAATGTACTACATTAAGTATTTTTGTCGAATTAAAATTACAAATTGCCCTGTAAATGCAAATCAAAAGTCTTTAATCTTCTTATTGTAAATATTTTGCAAATGTGCTAAAATAATGTATTGTGTGGAGCGTAAAAAGGTATGACAGTTCATACCGTTGCTGAAATCGACTTCTTGCCGCAGGTTATTAATGCACGAACCATTACCACTCAACCCCACAAACTAAGAAGCATCGCACAAAAAATTCTGCTGCAGATTAACTGCAAGTTAGGCGGAGAACTCTGGAGCGTTGATATTCCTCTGGTAAGCCCTATAAAACCATTTCTGCTTAAAAAGAGTAAGTAAGCACTCAATTTATATGTTTTGTAATGCATATCATTGCTGCCTCCCTCTTTCCTTCATCCCTCACCAATAACAGTGCAAGCCATGTAATCGATATAAATAAAAATGTAATGTTCGTTTGTGGGATTAACAGAACTCAAAAATCACTGGACGAATTGACACCACATTTGGACACAAGACACCTCTCAGGCCAGGGAGTGACCATCACTCATAAAAACACTGAAGGGACTTAAAAATCAGAAGGGACTTAAAAAGTCCCCAAAAGCTAAATGACGGAAAGCTACATGACAATACAAAAAAAGGGAAGAAAGAGGGAGGGAAGGGGAGAAAAAAAGAAAGAAAAAAAAGAGGGAGGGAGGGAAAGAAAGAAGAAGGAAGCATGGGAGCAAAGAGAGAAGGAAGGAAGGAAAGAGGAGGAAGAAGGAGAGAAAGAGGGAGGGAAAAAAAGAAGGAAGGAAAAGAGAGAAAAAAAGGGAAGGAAGGAAGAAGGAGAAAGGAAGGGGAAGATGTAGAGAAAGAGGGAGGGAAGGAAAGAAGGAAAGAGAGAAGGAAGAAAAGAGACAGCAGAAGAAAAGAAAAAGGGGGAAGGAAGGAAGAAGAGAAGGAAAGATGGGAAGGAAGGAAGGAAGGAAAGAGGGAGTGAAGGAAGGAAAGAGGGAAAGAAGCAGAGAAAGGGAAGGGTGGCCACAGCAACGCGTGGCGGGTACAGCAAGTATATTTATATAATGCTTATGAACTTATATGGAGCCCTCAGTGGCACAGTGGGTTAAACCGCTGAGCTGCTGAACTTGCAGACCGAAAGATTGACGGTTCAAATGGGGGAGTGGCATGTGTTCCCACTGTTAGCCCCAGCTTCTGCCAACCTAGCAGTTCGAAAACATGCAAGTGTGAGTAAATCAATAGGTACCGCTCTGGCGAGAAGGTAACTATGTTCCATGCAGTCATGGTGGCCACATGGCTTTGGAGGTGTCTACGGACAACGCCGGCTCTTTGGCTTAGAAATGGAGATGAGCACCAACCCTCAGAGCCAGACATGACTGGACTTAATGTCAGGGGGAAACCTTTACCTATGAACTTATATAGGGTCCATGCCTTTATTGGTGAGGTCCTTTTATGCCTGATCTTAATGCCCTGGATATTTTAAAAGCCATGATATTTATTTATTAGCCAACCATAATAAATATAATAACAATAATAATAATAATAATAATCTACTTTATTTAATACCCCGCCACCATCTCCCCAATGGGGACTTGGGGCAGCTTACACGAGGCGAAGCCCAACAGTCTATGACAATAAAGTAAAACCAAAACACATAACAACACAGTAAAATACATACAAGATGAATGCAAAGACAATAATGCAAAATCATAGTAAAATAAAATAACATAACATAACAATGAGCGGGCCGCATGTGCAAGAGAAAAACTAAGATATTAAAAATACTAAAATCAGGATGAGATTTTAGGGATGGAGCAGATTGTTTGTGGGGGAGAAACTCGTAAAGGAACGGGGTCCTAAATAGAGACCTTCATACAGGTGGGGAATAGACTCTGGGGACAGAGTATATCAACCATATTTGTATACCGCCTTTCTCAGCCCAATGGCAACTCAAGTCGGTTTGCAGTCGGCAAAAATTCAATACCCAACAGCAGTTGATGCCTACCTTCATCTTTAGGAAGTTGGCAGAGTGTCCCTGATCCAAAATACTTGGGACCAGAATTGCTTTGGATATTGTATTTTTCCCCATATTTTGAAGTATCTACAGTATATTTGCATATGTGTGCATGAGATAGCTTGGAGATGGCCCTGAAGTCTTCTCACCAAATTAATTGACATTCCATATAGACCTTATTCAGTCAGCTTTCAGTGCGATTTTCAATAATGCTTGTGAAGGAGAGCCATTGAATTGCAACCAGCGTCTTTTCTGCTTTTTAGAAACAGTTGATGATGATTGGGATGGATGTGTATCATGACCCTGGCAGAGGAAGGCAGTCAGTTGTTGGTTTCGTTTCAAGCACCAACCAGTAAGTACCGACATATTTTGGGAAAACTGACACGTTTGCCTTCTAGGTATTGTTACTGTTGTTATTGTTACTGTCTCTTGTTTACTTTTGTTTATGAGATTTATTTTAACAGTTGTATTGATTGCAGATGTTACAAATGTAAAAATATTAGAGTAAAATAATAAATGTAATAATAACAAAGTAAAACAATGCAAATGTTACAAATGTAATAACAACAGAGTAAAATAAAAATATAATAATAATACAATAAAATAATAAATGTAATAATAATAAAGTAAAATAATAAATGTAATAATAATAATAATAACAAAGTAGAACAATGCAGATGTTACAAATGTAATAACAATAGAGTAAAGTAAAAATATAATAATAATACAATAAAATAATAAATGTAATAATAATAAATACAGTAAAATCATAAATGCAATAATAATAACAACAAAGCAGATGTTACAAATGTAAAAATATTAGAGTAAAATAATAAATGTAATAATAATAATACAAAGTAGAACAATGTAAATGTTACAAATGTAATAACAATAGAGTAAAGTAAAAATATAATAATAATAAAATAAAATAATAAATTTAATAATAATAATAAACAGAGTAAAATAATAAACATAATAACAATAATAGAGTAAACTAAATGTAATAAGAATAATAATAGAGTAAAATAATAAATGTAATATTAATAGAGTAAAATAATAAATATAATAATAGAGTAATATAATCTGTCAGCTGCAGAAGGCCACCTTACTGGGATCCGCATGCATTATTCGCCGATACGTCACACAGTCCTAGACACTTGGGAAGTGTCCGACGTGTGATCCAATTCAACAGCCAGCAGAGTGTCTGCTGTGGACTCATCTTGTGTTTCAAATAATAATAATAATGTGAATAGTGAAGCATTATGTCCTGAATTGGGGGGCCCTGGTGGTGCAGCGGATTAAACCGCTGAGCTACTGAACTTTCTGACCGAAAAGTTGGTGGTTTAAATCCAGGGAGTGAGTTCAGTTCCCACTGTTAGGCCGAGCTTCTCCCAACCTAGCAGTTTGAAAACATGCAAATGTGAACAGATCAATAGGTACTGCTCTGGCAGGAAGGTAATGCTGCTCCATGCAGTCATGCTGGCCCCATGACCTTGGAGGTGTCTATGAACAACGCAGGCTCTTTGGCTTAGAAGTGGAGATGAGCACCACCTCCCAGAGTCGAACACGACTAGACTTAATGTCAGGGGAAACCTTGACGTTTACTTCTGTCCTGAATTAACAAGGCTTGTCATTTCTTCCTGTCTTTCGACAGCACTTTTACCCAATGGTACTCCAAGGTTGTATTCCAGATGCCTCATCAAGAAATTATTGATAGCCTGAAAGTCTGCCTGGTGGGTGCCTTGCAGAAGTTCTACGAGGTAGGAAAGCGGCATTTCTGTCACCTCCCACCCCACACACACCTTTGGGCCAGAATAAAGGGAAATGCTGGCATTGTTTAGATCAGAGACCATGTTGATCTGAAATACCCAGCTTCCAGTTTCATTCCTCATGTTTCGATTCTCTTGAAGGTCAACCACTTCCTCCCTGAGAAGATCGTGTTTTACAGAGACGGAGTGTCGGATAGCCAAATAAAAATGGTAGAGAGCTATGAGGTCCCACAGCTGCAGAAGTGCTTTGAAGCTTTTCACAATTACAGTCCTAAAATGGTCGTGTTTGTAGTCCAGAAGAAAATCAGCGTCAACATCTATTCGGCAGCCACGGATAACTTCACAACGCCTTGTCCTGGCACCGTGATAGACCATACGGTCACCAGCCGGGACTGGTAAGCGAGAAGTCGTTCCCTATGCCTTTACTTTTGCACATCTGCACTTTTCTGTAATAGGATCGTCTTGTTGTTAAAAAATAAGGGACTTAAATGTGTGCGTTGCCTCTTCTCTTGTCTCTGCCTCCAAAATAAAAATGCTGTCCCATGAACTCATTTCATCTAGGTTAGCCTTATTTTTCTTTTCTTTTGGGTTAGAGCAACAGTTCGGTGATGGTGGTATTATTATTATTATTATTATTATTATTATTATGTATTCATATTATCATGCACAGTTGCTCCCCCTCAACAGTTTTTGTCCCCAGAGTCTATTTCCCCACTTGGATGAAGGTCTATATTTATGACCCCATTCCTTACGAGTTTCTCCCCCACAAACAATCTGCTCCATCCCTATCTCATCCTGATTTTAGTATTTTTAGAATCTTAGTTTTATCTTGCACATGCTCATTGTTACGTTATGTTATTTTACTGTGTATGATTTTGCTTTATCGTTTTTGTACTCGTATGTTGTATGTATTTTACTGTGTTGTTACTGTGTTTTGGTTTTACTTTATTGTAATGTGCTGTTGGGCTTGGACTCATGTAAGCTGCCGCAAGTCCACATTGGGGAGGTGGTGGCGGGGTATTTATTATTATTATTATTATTATTATTATTATTATTATTATTATTATTATTATTAGAAACACAACAAGATGAGTCCACAGCAAAAAAGATCACTATGCTGGCTTTTGTATTTAATCACACATCGGACACTTCCCAAGTGTCTAGGACTGTGTGATATATCGGCAAATAATGCGTGCAGATCCGAGCAGGGTGGCTTTTTGCAGCTGGCAGATGGTAACTTTGTCAGCGCCGAATTGCAGGCCAAGGTCTTTAGTCACTGTCCCAAGTGTGCTGATCACCAATGGGACCACCTTAACTGGCTTGTGCCAGAGTCAATAATAATAATAATAATAATAATAATAATAATAATAATAATAGAATTGAAAAGTCAATGACAGATCCCAAGTTTAGACTCTGCAAGGAAGCAGATGAAACAATAGATCACATCCTCAGCTGCTGCAAGAAGATCGCACAGACAGATTACAAGCAGAGGCGCAACACCGTTGCTCAGGTGATTCATTGGAACTTGTGCCACAAACACCATCTGCCTGCCACAAAGAATTGGTGGGATTACAACCCAGAAAAGGTTACAGAGAATGAACACGTCAAGATACTCTGGGACTTCCAGATTCAGACAGAGTTTTGGAGCACAAAAAACAAAGTATGGATTGTCGATGTTGCAATCCCAGGTGACAGCAAGATTAACGAGAAACAACTGGAAAAGCTGACACGATATGAGGATTTAAAGATCGAACTGCAAAGACTGACACAAGCCAATCAAGGAGGTCCCAGAGGTTATCAACACACTGGGTGCAGTGCCTAAAAACAATTGGCGCTGACAAAATTACCATCTCCCAGCTGCAAAAGGCCACCCTACTCACATCTGCACACATTATTCGCCGATACATCACAGTCCTAGACACTTGGGAAGTGTCCGACGTGTGATCCAATAAAACAGCCAGCAGAATGATCTTGTTTACTGTGTGCTAATCTTGTAATAATTAATTAATAACAATAATAATATTCAAAGACTCTGGCACAAGCCAGTAAAGGTGGTCCCAGTGATGATCAGCACACTGGGTGCAGTGCCTAAAGACCTTGGCCTGCACTTAAACACAATCGGCGCTGACCAAATTACCATCTGTGAGCTGCAGAAGGCCACCTTACTGGGATCTGCACACATTATTCGCCGATATATCACACAGTCCTAGACACTTGGGAAGTGTCCGACCTGTGATCCGATACAACAGCCAGCAGAGTGTCTGCTGTGGAGTCATCCTGTGTTTCAAATAATAATAATTGTAATAATCATCATTATTATTACAACAAAGCATTGCATGGGCAGTTCCTTGACAAAAATTGAGGGAAAAGTTGACAAGGAGAAGACCTGGTGATGGCTCACGAATGGAACCCTGAAGAAGGAGACAGAAGAAGGCCTGGTTCTTGCAGCCCAGGAGCAAGCCATCAGAACAAAGGCCATTAAGGCCAGGGTCAAAAAGTCAGCTGATGACCCAAAATGTAGACTGTGCAAGGAAGCGGATGAAACCATGGACCATCTCCTCAGCTGCTGCAAGAAAATTGCACAGATGGACTACAAACAGAGGCACAACTCTGTGGCCCAAATGATTCATTGGAATTTATGTCACAAGGACCACCTGCCTGCAGTAAAGAACTGGTAAAGAGATCATAAACCTGCAAAAGTAGTGAAAAATGAACACGCTAAAATACCGTGGGACTTTTGAATCCAGACTGACAAAGTTTTAGAACACAATACACCAGATATCACAATTATGGAAAGGAAAAAAGTCTGGATTATTGATGTTGCCATTCCAGGTGACATCAAGACCTCAAAATTGAACTGCAAAGGCTCTGATGGCATCAACCAGTCCAGGTGGTCCCAGTGCTCATAATGGGCACACTGGGTGCCATGCCAAAAGATCTCAGGCGGTAACAATACGATCTGTCAACTGCAAAAGACCACCTGACTTGGATCTGCACACATCATTCAAAAATATATCACACAGTCCTAGACACTTGGGAAGGGTTCGACTTAAGATTTTGTGATGTGAAATCTAGCATATATATCTTGTTTGCTGTGTCGTACTGTTATATTATATTGATGTATATAATATATATATGTATGTGTATATCTATATATATAATAAAGAAGAGTGTTTGTATCGGACAGAGGAAGGGCGGTGTATGTGGCAGCGTTCTGATTGGCTGCCGCTGTGGTGCTATTTGCATATGGTCTCTGATTGGCCAGCTTCAAGAGGAGCCCCTGGTGGAGAAGAGGGTTCATGGCAGAAACGGGGCATGACAGAAGGAAATTTGCATATGGTCTCTGATTGGCCAGCCTCAAATCCAAGATTCCGAGATGACAAAGAGAGGAAAGGAAAGGCCGGGGGCTGGGTCAGAACACTACCAATACAGACCGAAATAGGCAGACAGAGCCCCCATCACCCTCTACATGCTACTGCAGTGTGGAGGAGTATGAACCATGGATGATGGGACTTGCAGTACCACCACTCACATTCTGAGACCGCTGTTAACCTTATCCAATGACTGATCAGGACCAAACTTCGCACATAGACCTCTCATGAACCACTTTACGTCCTGCTGTGGTTTGGCCGGAGATGGACCGTGGATTATGGGACTTGCAGTACCATTGCTCAATTCTTCAGACCACTGCAACCCTCATCCAATTACCAATAAATACCAAACTTGGCACACTGAGTCTCCATGACGCACTCTACATCCAGGTGCAGTTTGAAGGAGGATGCACCATGGACGATGGGACTTGCAATACCTGCACTCCCTTCCTAAGACCATTACAACTACCAACGATGATGGATCAGGACCGCAATTTACACAGAGACCCAGCATGACCCACTCTACATCCTGGTGCGGTTTGGAAGAATTTAACAATGGATGATGGGGCTTGCAGTCACTTCACTCACTTCCTGAGACCACTGAGACCCTCGCCAATGACTCATCAAGACTAAACTTGGCACATGGAGCTTCAATGACCCACTCTACATCCTGGAGCAGTTTGGAGGACGACAGACCATGGATGATGGGACTTCAAGTACCTTCACTACCCAAGACTGCTGCAAAACTCATCTAATGACCCATCAAGACCAAAGTTGGCACACAGAGCCCCCATGACCCACTCTACATCCTGCTGCAGTTTTGGAGAAGGGTGGACCATGGATGATGGAACTTCCAGTACCTTCACTCACATTCTGAGACCTCTGCAAACCTCATCCAATGACGGATCAAGACTAAACTTCGCACATAGACCTCTCATTACCCACTTTACATCCTGGTGTTGTTTGGAAAACTTTGGAGATGGATGATGGGACTTGCAGTACCTTTGCTCACTTCCTGAGACCACTGAGACCCTCGCCAATGACTAATCAAGACTACACTTGGCACATGGAGCTCCAATGACCCACTCTACGTCCTGGTGCAGTTTGGAGGAGGACAGTGGTTTATTCCTTGCCTTTCATCTGTGTTCAATTGGGACCTCTGCCCGCTCTCTATCCTCTTTGCGTCTTGCGGTTTTATGTTTTGGCTACTATCCTCCTCTTCTGCTATTCATTTCCCTGCTCGTTCTAATAGCTCTTTTCTCGTGCTGCTTTTGATG